GAGAGAGAGAGAGAGAGAGAGAGAGAGAGAGAGAGAGAGAGAGAGAGGAGAGAGAGAGAAAAGAAACAGGAAGTGAAAATGTCCCATACATGACCTGAGTGCTTACCTCTGGGTGCGAAGACTGCAATAGAACTGTTCCCTCCACATGTCGTGTTACCACAAGACTGTGTACAGAGGTGCTCATTCTTGGAGCCGAGGTGATCATAGTTATGTAGGCAGGCACATGATATGCGATTGCCAGAATCTATGAAGGACCCTGACAGGTATAAGCCCCTAGCATTGCAGCTTGCTATGCAAGATTGGATTGTTCCGGACATTGGCGTAGTCGTCAACTCAAAATCGGCTGATACATTTGCCGCATAGCATCCAACTCGTACTGCATGCAACAGCGAAGAGAATCCAGAATATGTGTTCAGTAGGTATCAACAATAGCAATGCATACGCATTCACATCAAAAAAAAGAACCGGAACTTCGAAAAGTGATCTGATTTTCTTGCGAACTAACATTCAGAACCAACCGAACCCTTTCCTTACAATCCCGAGATGTTCATACGCATTTTTCAACCATTTCCAGTCTGACCATACTTGATTCAATCCCTGAGTGTTGATTTGGCACTTTCCATGGGAATGGGCTGAGACGTCTAAATCCATCAGTCTCTCTACTTCCAAATGTACTACTGTATAGCAGGAAATTTTCGGACGGAATTTATTTTCGTACGATTTCGTACACGGCCTCTTTTGTCCTAAAATTAATTCCGTACTAAAATTTGTTCATGTTAAATTATGTACACTATACGTGGGTACTGCTTGCGAACATGTGCATTTCGCATGCAGCACTGTACGAAAATAAAATCCGTACGAAAGGTCGAAATTCGGCTTTGTCCAAAAATATTTCCGTCCGAAAATTTCCTGCCATACAGTATGTTGTACAGCAGGTCCATGCCTTCTGTAAATTAATAACCCCTGCATAATTGGTGTTCGCTTCATCAGAAGTAGACTGTACACAAGAAAGTCATGCCCCTGTGATGGCATACATTCCTGGCCATGCTTGAAGAAAGTACACCACTGCATGCATGCTTCCACCTTTGCTTGCTTTGATTTCATGTAATGGATGCAGAAGAAGCGCTTGCACCTGTCTCGCAGCTTTGCGTCTGGGCTTTCACAGGCGATAACAAGATGCACACTCACCGACAGTGAACTCCTGGCAAGCTCTTCCAGCCCAATGCGTTTGACACTGACACTGTCCACCACGCAGCATACACGGAACACTGGAGTCTGGACGATACGCGTAGGCGTCTACTTGATCGTTGCAAGCACACGTCTGGTTGCAGTCCAAGCCCCAGGTTGTGTTTTCACATGCTAAATAACACAGATTTTGTTAAGAAAATAGAGAACAATATTTCCTCATTCATCCATTTGTTAGCAAAGGTAGATGGTCATTTTACGATGTGAGCTTATAGGAGCATATCATCGAGTAACATGGGACAAGAAAATGGGTCACTTGAATATATTTTACAAATACACCACAGATTACAATGCACAAGAGAAAGCCAATACTGAGAGAGAATCGCTTACCGCAATCAGGTATGTTTCGACTACCTAGATCAATGAATTGGTTGCCAGAAGCAATGCTTTGAATAGGAATTGAGCGGCTGTTGGCAGCATCATTCAGGCACGTTCCGTTCAAGTAGTTACCATAGCTTGTTCTGAATGAAAACACGAAACGACATAAATCATAGGCCACCTTTGGGTTATTTTATCCACAAATGCACTAAGACAAAGGTAACCCATAGTCAATTCTCTGAGGACACGGAATGCCTCCTCCGCGTCGACGCAAGTAATACATTGAACACGCTTAAAACCCTTCCCGCGTTCATCACGAGTATACTCTTCATGCAGAACCCATTGCGCCTGGGATACGACCAGTATACCCGCACTGTACGTTTTGTACAGTGCACATACCGTGCATAGCATGCACACTTGGTAGTTCACTGTACAAACAGGCATAAACCTGGAACAAAACATTCTATTGCCATAAACAATAGCTCATTGGAAAGGTCTTGGAAAGGGCTTTCCAGCAGTGTTTTCGGTATTACTATTCCTAGAAAATGATCGATCGGCGAGAAATTTAATGCAGACTACGATTTCGTAGTTTCCGTTGAACGAGTTTTAGCGACTTTCCAGCCATTCAAAGGGATTTCGCCATGACACTTGAAAGGCAGCATGACGATTGAGTGCATACCTTGAATCGGTTGAATCTAACAAGTGTTCTTCCATTTTGAATTGTAGTTCTACATTGAGTATGAGCCCAAAGTCAAAGGAATTTGTTGTGCATGGTCTTGATGCTAAACTGAAGCACAACAGGGACACTCTTGGCGGGGGTAGGGGCATCCTTGGTGTTATGTATGCTTTGGGAGCACAAGGAAGATGACTAGAAGGAAGAGCTAATACGGCAGGCGACTGTCGACAGGGCAGTGGAGCCAGTGTGTGCACGCAAGGTATCCCACTCGGAGGCTATGGCACACCAGGCAGCAGCTGACGCCAATGAGCTGGTGTGGGACACTGATGACAGCATGCAACAAGACATTTCTTGTCACGAACAGGAGTCGTGATCATTTCCGTGCCCCCTTTTTTGGCACCCAATAGCTCCCCGTTGTATGCACATGCCCATTTCTGGCGGCCGTGCACGTTGCGGTGTGCTCCCCCTTTTGCGCATGTATCCGTTTCTGGCTGCTACAGCTCGTGGTGCGCTTCCCTTGCTCCCCTATGTGCACACACGTCCGTTTCTGGCTGTACACACATGTTTATTTCTGCTATGACGCCATTGCTATTGCTTCCAAAAAGGGAGCAGCAAGCTGGTTGGATTGTTGTCCCCTGAAGCGCTATGGTTTCAGCTTGTCCAAGAACGTGTTCAGGCATGGCCTCTGCCTACGCTACGGCTGGACACCATCCAAGTTACCACCGAGCTGTGTACGTGGCAAGTCATTCTTTGTCACTCACATACTATCATGCAGCACGGGTGGATACCTTCACAGGAGGCATAATGCTGTGAGGGGATCTCACAGCGGGTTTGCTGAGGGGGGTGGCCCATGATGTGGTCATTGAACCCTGCCTAGGGCCCTCTCTGGAGAAAGGGTCGCCCACCGGTCAGCCGCCACTTAGGATTCGGCGCGCCTGGTTGTACGCCAGTGGTGCTACCTTCTTCTGGGCCTTTGGCAAGACAGCTGCTTGCGTGCTGTACTGTCGTATGGCATGTATGTTGGCAGAGGAGGGGAGCGGGCCGTGCAGCATGGTGATAAGCCGCAATCGGTGCCGGCTGGCTTGCGCACTTCTACAGTCTGCCATCGCTAGCTGGTGTGGACATCCCACAGCGGGCACTGCCCTCACCTACAGAAGCTTTATTGGTGAGCAATATAATACCTGAGTCAGGTAGCATGATAACTGTCGTGGATTGTTGCGAAGCCAGTTAACCCGACTGCTGCATGGACAATAAGTACTGCGAATAGTGGTCATGCACCCTGGCTTGAGTAGCTCACTTGGCTAATTGAAAGTCTGCCGACCTGGGCCACGTTATGTTGCTAGTACATGCACAACCCCAGTCACAGAGCACAAGTTGGTTGAGTTTGGCCATCAGGAGGCCAGCGCAAGGTATCCGGGGCGCGGGTCTGATTCCAGCGAGGGCCAATGTGGTACCCCACAGCACAAGGGTAGCGTGATACCCTACGCCAACGTGCGCGCTGCACGAGTAGCGTGATACTCGCCGAGCGATTTTGCTGTTGCCTAGCAACGCGTTTCTGTCTTTCTTGGGCCCCCAAATGCATGTTGGGTGGCCCTGCGCATGACTGCACGTTGTCATAGCAACCTTTGAAATCTCAAGCCGGTTACCAACAAGCTAGGAATCAGACCAAGCCGCCAAATGCCCCCGCCGGCCACCGGCGCTTATTGCAATGGAATGAATAATTTGTCAAGAATAGTGAGCTAGGACAGATCAAAATACATGATTGTACATGTAGCTTGGGGTACCATCATGCTGAGGGCACTCATTGTGAGACATAGGATAGTGTAGAGCGATAATAAATTCCAGGAGGCGTGGGTGGGAGGGAGAAATTGCAGAACAGTTGGATGCACGCAGCAGCACAGCTAGCAAGAGAAAGAAGCCGTGGATGGGTTTGTTCCTGTTTTTGATGGCTGTGGCCATCCGTTGGCCCAACAGTCTCGTGTGAGTACGGCGTTTGTTTGTGCTGCCAGCTCGTGCCCGGCGTTTGTTTGTGCTGCCAGCTCGGGCCCGGTGCGCGAGTGAAACGGAACTTTGAAACAGGCTTTCATTCTTTAGTGCTTTTGACTGGCTTTTCATACAATGCCTATTGATGTCTAGAGACATGCTGTCTAGCCTTCCCCTGGCACGCATTCACGGGGCTTTGTTGAAGTTTGTACCGTGAACTGCCAAAGGGAATAGTTTGAATGGCGCTGGGGCGAGTGCCACATTACGGCGTCCCTGCAGCCGGCCTAATCGCGTCTGTCGCCACAACCGATTTTCAGCAGTGTTGGCTGTATCCAGATGCTGTATTCGTTGAAACTGATTTTATTGTCAGTTTTACATGAGCTCCTGATAATCGGCTTTCATCGATCTTGCACTTTATCGGGATATTTCTCTGATTGCTTTATTTCTTCTTCCTTTGTGCAGTTGCTGCAAACCCTTGTGCGCTAAGGCAACTGGTACAATATAAACTCTTTAACTCACTTAGCCAATGCTGGCTGTAAGGGGCAGGAAGTGTTAGCGACCTCTTGCTTCAATGATGTCGAAATAGTGACAGCAGTGCCCATCTTCTCTTTCTCATTGCTTTCGCCTCCCAATAGTATCTAATCGCAGATGGGTCCCAATTTTGTGTAACGACCCTTCCTTGTCAGAACAGTATTTCAATCCAGGGCTGGCTTTGCTGTCAGATACTTCAAAGTGAGCATTGGTGAAGAAATGAATGCAGTGAAAACTCACATTGTGATGCCAGCTGAGGTGTTTGAAAACAAACTCTGAAACAGTATGGAGTCAAACGTGATGTTGTTGTAGCTGAAGTCACTACAGAGCAGGAGCAGAAGAAAAAAACAGGGTGACAGGGGTGTCAGAATTGGTGCAGCAGGTGCAGCTAAGGCCACAGCAATAACAACATAAATGAAGATTACCAGCGCACTCCAAGGCTAGTTTTCAAACAATTTCCTGGGGATGACATTGGACGAAGTTATGTTCAACTCATCCCAATGTCGGCCACTGAACAAGAGGGCACACCACAGACAGTTTCTAATACGACATGGGCACACACATGTTGGGTTCAATCAACGCATACTAAGGATCAATACTTACAATGTGAAGAGATATGAGCTTGGTGAGATAACGTTCCTCAGGGACTGGAGCCGATTGCCTTTCAAGTTCCTGTAAATCGCAAACAGCACATCAAGGTCTAAGTTCTGTTCAAAACTTGTAAGAGCAACACAGGTAATGGCCCAGCATGCCTCAGGCCAAGTCCATATCACACACAGAAAACAATAATCGGAGAAGGACAAAGACCAATGTACTCCACATACTAGTCATAGACTGGTTTCATAGTCTTCAGTCACTAATCACATATCACTCCACACATGGAAACCATAGAAATCGTGTACAGTCATCTGGAAAATACTATTCGCCTTGATTAGACTTACAGTGTTTTGTGGAAGGGGTCTCCTGCTAGTATTGCTGCAAAGTTGAAACTGGTGTCAACAAGCTGGTTGTACGACAGATCTCTGGAGAGTAGCATTTGAGGCATGGTTCAAACACAGAACATGTGATGTCTATAAAGAAGGATTGCACGTATGAGGTTGTCAGCTCAATCTCATTGAGATCAAGAGGAAATGAACTGGTGCCGAATGCAGCAAAGTTTGGCAATACACTTTTTTTTATTCAGCAGCAGGCCCCAGCACCAGCGAATTGAATGTTTCCGCAGTAATACCACTGGTGGCGCAACACATCGCTATGTCAGTTCAGGAGACCATCGTTTCAACACCTGCACTAGTTGCTAGGCTGACATAAGCAACCGGCCCCAGTCAGCGGAAGAGTGCTCTGGAATAGTCCAGCGTAAAGATCACTAAATAAAAACTACGGAAAAAGCGAGAACGCTACCACATTTCTCTGGTAACAGCTACGTCATTCAATGGTCACTCACTCATTCGCCTAACTCTTTACTTCGTTCAGGAATAGGCATGAACTGACATGTTGCGACTTCGGCGGCAATTGTAGAAGAAGGTGGCTGCTCCAAACGGTGGAGCTCGCGTCAGTCGCCAGGAAGCACGAGCTCCAACGTTTGGAGCAGCAACCCCTCTTCCAGGAATAGGCACATTGGAACAGTGCCATAGCAATTTGTGTAGATATGCCTCTTGCTTCATCAACTGCCATCACCATAACATGTGCGTCTCGGAGGAGGTGAGCGCATTGGAAGAATGTATCAAGACATAGCCGGAAAAGTCAATCTGAGTTTGAACAGGCATGATGAGTGAGAGTATGGGTTGAGAGTATGGGTTGAGAGTATGGGTTGAGAGTACTCATGGGTTGAGAGTATGGGTTGAGAGTATGGGTTGAGAGTATGGGTTGAGAGTATCCCGGGGTTGAGAGCATGGGTTGAGAGTATGTACTCATAATGGAGAACTAACACTGACAACGAATGACTGACGACTGTCAACAAACGTCTGACTCTGACAACGAATGACTGACAACTGACGACGAACGTCGGACAACTGACGACGACCGTCGGACAACTCACTCTGACAACGAACGTCTGACAACTCACGACGACCGTCGGACAACTGACGACGACATGGCAAAAGGAAAACATGATATCAGAAATTGGTGCCCTCGTCAGCACAAAAGGTGGTGTACTCAGCACAAAAAGGTGCACTTGTCAACAACAAAGCAGCGCAGCAGCATGTACGGGTCAGCAACAAAGCAGCGCAGCAGCATGTACGGGTCAGCAGCACAGAGACACAAATACAGCAGCAGCTACGACGAAGAGACAACACGTGCAGGCGCAGGTACAACATATGGGTTGAGAGTATGGGTTGAGAGTGTGGGTTGAGAGTGTGGGTTGAGAGTATGGGTTGAGAGTATGGGTTGAGAGTATGGGTTGAGAGTATGGGTTGAGAGTATGGGTTGAGAGTATGAGTTGAGAGTATGGGTTGAGCGTCAGGCGAAATAGCACGTCATAGTACATTAAATTTTGAGATCAGCGGGAAGAAGATGACGACGTCCACTAATTTAGTATCTGTGCACACGAATCGGCTGTGTGTGTGACTCTGTGTGTCAGCTATGATATCATCTTCTGTGGTTCCATGCCTAGCATGTACGTCTGAACCATCCTGCAAAGTTTGAATGACGTAGGTTGAGCGATCGCTCCGCGAAACATACTTTTTGAAATTCTCTTCATAGTATATCTTCCACCACTGAAATTTCGAATTTATTCAAAAAAAGTGCTGAGAGGGGTGGCTTGCAACCTCGATATGGCTTGTTCCAGGCATGCTTTGGAGCCATCTTCTGTTGAAGTAGTGGCAGGGATCTGCCCTGCAACTGCTACAACAAAAAATAATTCGATCTGAGAAAGGGTGAGACCGCGAATCTCAGTTGAATATTGAGTATTTCAAGCCTTTTCACGACGAAGATGGAGTTCTTTTTGGAGATGGACGTCGCGGCAAAGGACATGGTGTCCGACTTCTGGCGTCTGGTGAAGCCAGGGATCATTTGTCCAGTCAGGTCGGCAGCCTAACCGTCGGTAAGCTTGTGTTTGGATCCCGTTCTGCTCGATGTGGTAGATCACAAACAATTTGATATCGCACAAATTGATCTCAGCATCGTGCGTACGGTATTTTATATTCAGAAAATCCCAAAGTGTCTCTGTGTGGCCGTCCTATGCCACGAGAAACTCCAATCAGGCTCATATGTCCTCTGCCTTCATGATTGAATGTCCACTTCGTTTGAACAACGAACACATCAATCGAGGAGGGCTTTGCAATGAAAAATACAGCTATACTGGAGCTGAAAAAAGAAAGAAAAAACGTGCTCAGGATGAGATTCGAGTACACGCATACTCTCCCAGCAGGTGAAACGCAAATTTTTGTGAAAAATGCGTGTCGCCGACTGACCAGTAATTTCGCCTGACGAGTATGGGTTGAGAGTATGGGTTGAGAGTATGGGTTGAGAGTATGGGTTGAGAGTATGGGTTGAGAGTATGGGTTGAGAGTATGGGTTGAGAGTATGGGTTATGAGGTGAGGCAGTCCACCCACTTACAGTGTGACTAATTGCGTGAATGCTGAGAGTTGACTCAAATCAGAGAATGACTTGATCAAGTTGTGACTTAGATCTCTGGACAAAGCAAGAAGACACGACAAAGCAGACTACCGTTGTTTATCCACTGTTACATTAGATCGGATACTAGTACCATACTGGCAAAATCCATAACAGCTACAGTGTACTAGCTACAGTGCATGTAATACATTGCGCAGTCAACCATTATGGTGCAAAGGCAACCAAAGCTTATGGCTAACCAGGAACAAGAACGTATGCCATCAAAGCTCAGAAGCTCATTACAAGCTGATGTGTGGTGCATACAAGAGGTGCAAGACAATGTTATCACAAAGTGTAGTCAAGCCAATCATAACAGTTGATCGTACATATAAGAATACAATAGCATTAGTGCTGGTAGCTACTTTGCTGCCTCCTGATGCACACACAACCTCAGCATACCCTCAGCATAGCCTCAGCATACCAGACACTAACAACATCAACAATGTACTGGTCAATAGATAGACTATACATGACCGATGTGAACTTACAGTGATGTTAAACCAGGCATTGCAGAACTCGAAGTGGTCAAGTTGAAGCCGGTCAACATGTTGTACGAGGCATTCCTATGAAGCAAGAGAGAACATTGATAGAATAATTGAGACATGGAGTTCAATGCCAGTCCAGGCCATTAAACACATGATCCCGGTGCATGAGTTTCACAGTTCTTCGCAATACGTAGCTCTGCTGGAGAATTATTGGGAACCAAACAAGTATCTATAAGAAACTAGTATCCAGTGTGGAAATAGACTTGAGAGAAAACTGGGGGAAAGATTGGAGGGAGACAGGGGGCAGCATCACCATAGTCTGCCACCAAGGAAACCCAGAAGTGGCTCAATCACAGCACAGTTCCTACAAGGATAGGCATTCACAGCTATTCACCCCACACCGAATCCTTACAATGTTTGGAGAGATGTTGTGTTCAAGGTAATGTCGTTCACACTCGATAGTCTATTGCGACTGATGTCACTGAAATTACAAGAAGAGTCCAAGAGCAAGCGTGCCTGAGTCAATGCCGCTGAGTACAGAATCAAAAAACTACAAGCACTAAAAGGAAAGCAGGTTTTCAGGTATGGAGATGCCACACCATCCAATCCGCTCACATGCAAACGGGATAGGGTTTTTTCGATGCTTCACATGTACACAGTTTGACAGGGTATGAACTGCATTTTCACCAGGGTCTGTTATGTTTCATTCAACCTACCGGAGCAAAAGGTAAATTAGCCAGAGCTTCAAACCACTGTGCTGGCCAACATGTGATCAACACTTCTCCATAAAACAGCACCCAACACAACTGAACATATCCCACAGGCAACATATCTAACCACTACCATTAAAAAATTAATGATTTGAAAGAAGAGCATGATGAAAACCTAGGACACTCACAGGTAGTTCAGCGTCAGGTCCTTCAAGCTATCTCTTATGCTGGATATTCTATTCCCGGCCAGCGATCTGCAGAGTAAACGCAAGACAAGAAGGCAGTGCACAAGCATCTGCATGTAATGCTGCTAAACTATCCAATTAATCACTGTCCAAAATTGTACTTCATGAACATTAATTATTGCGTTGGCATCCAAATGCTGTGCAAAATCATGTGCATTTTACAGACATGTAATCTAAGCACACCAAGAATATTGCTCATTGCACATCTTTTGATCACTGGAGTTGTCCGGTGCTGGGTAAATATGTGATAGCACTGTCACAATGACAGTTAGGCAAGGCAACATGTGCATATGTCGGAAAGAATGCCAGTATAACATATGAGGAGACAATGTGCAGAGTAGAAGAAGACTCAGTGCATCCAGCTGCTGGTCATTTCAGTCATAGCCTTACAGTATATCAATATTCCTGACACCTATGAAGGTGTTAGCGCTCGGAGCCGAGAGTCGGTTGTTGTCCAAATACCTGTACAATTCACATGAGATAGAAGCATAGCACTGAGAACAGGAACAGCGTTATATTCTCGGTCCAATTAATTGGAGAACAAGGGCCATGAATTCCATCCAACGGTTATACATTCCAGAACAAAAAAAAACCTCTGACAGAGGTAGAGAACTAAAGAACCGTGGTGCAAACAGGATACCTACAATGTATTTGATCCTCCAGAAGTGCTCATAAACGTTTCTCTTGTCGGCAATCGGTTGATCCTGTTGTTTCGGGCACTCCTGTTGCATGGATAGGGAGCAACATCAAGCACAGTTCAAATGTCAAGAAATGACACCACATATTACTCCAACATTGCCTGCTAAAACAGACCAATTCTGCATCAATGCAATCTGGTGAAGGAAACACATAGGTTCCTTGCCAGTTAGCGAGTCCAACGGTTCCTCTCCCTCCCCGTGCACCTCAGGGTGATAACACAAAGAGCACAGGGAAAAAACACCACAGTCGACAGTATCACTTACAAGTAAAACAAATGACTGCCGTTGAACATGAAGTCAGAGAGGAATGTCAGCGAGTTGTTATCCAGTTCACTGTAAGATGACAACAAAGAACATGAAAAGGAGCAGTGGACTCAGATGGAGAGCCAAGGAGCAGTGGACTCAGATAGAGAGCCAAGGAGCAGTGGACTCAGATAGAGAGCGAAGGAGCAGTGGACTCAGATGGAGAACCAAGGAGCAGTGGACTCAGATAGAGAGCGAAGGAGCAGTGGACTCAGATGGAGAACCAAGGAGCAGTGGACTCAGATAGAGAGCCAAGGAGCAGTGGACTCAGATGGAGAGCCAAGGAGCAGTGGGCTCGGATGGAGAACCAAGGATACGTTTATAGGAAAGAAAAAGGACCAAGGAACTACAAGTTACGCTATAATGTCCATTAGCGCTTGCACCCGAATGCATCAGAGCAGTGTATAGGAAATGGGAGAGCCAAGTGACCACATGCAATGGAAAGTCACAGAGCAAAGCTGCATGCATACCCACGTATTCTCACAACACCGCACAAGGATGATTGGGGTACACCAGTGTGCTGGTTTCGATCAACTGGTGAAGCGATTGGCGTTGCAAACAGCCAAAGTCAGGGCTCACAGTTGCGTAGAAAAGCGTCGATTAGATGGGGGCGGTGCACGTGCTCCAAAATGCCAGCTTGGCCAATCAGCAGTCAGCATTTCGTCGCATTTTTGCTCGAAGTAGGGGGTGTTTGAAGGAGTTAGCAGCACTTCAGCCTGGTTCTACGAAGCTGAGACTTGGCCCAGGCACAGATGACAGGTGTTCCAAAAGATTTACCGAAACAAATTTTCATTACTCACACGGGTATGCCAGAGCATATGCGTAAACTTCGTGAGATATAGTACAGCATTCGAAAGGAATATCCAAAAACGTCTCGGTAAATTTCTTTGCCAGGGTCTCCTGAAAATTTTGAGCCATTGATTGTCCAAATCGACCAAGGGGGAGATGCTCTGTACTAATTTTAGTAACCCCGAGTCCTGGCGGCGCGCAACCGCTTGCGCGAAAATGTGTGAAGATCAAACAACAAGAAAAACGCATGCATGCAGCAGAACAGCAACGCGTGCCGTCGAAGAGAAAATCATTGTGCACAGATTGTTCATCAGTGTTCTCTCCTCAGTTCGCCCGCGGCGTTGGTTGCTGTGCTTTTATTCTCGCTGGAGTTCTTGTGGCAGCGCATTTCGCCATCATGGAGGAACTGGCACCCTGGGAAACCTGGTCTTCAGTGGCCCTCGACAAACGCCCGGTGGATTTGCTGGTCCCGTTCACCTCCATCCGATCACCAGCTCCGTGTGGTATCATCATGTTCTCGGCGTTACCTGCCTGGCGAGCTCTGACTCGTTTGTTTGTCTTCTTACCTGTGGAATCATCACGATCGCTCATTGTAGGATCAGCTCTTGGTCGAACATGGCATGTTGTTTTTACTGGGACTAGCACAGGTTGCGTTTCGCCTTTTCCTCCAAAATATCGCGAACATCGGCTCTAAAACTACGAGAACAGTACACATGGTACAAGTACAACTCGGGTTCTTTCTCTTTTCTGTTCTGTTTTGGATGCGTGGGATGTACACGATCGGTACTCTCCCGGGGTCACGCGACTCACGTGCACCAAACCCGCCCTCGCACGACGCTTTTGTCGATCCTGCATGCCTACTGTGACCCCTGAAAGTGATCGCTCACGACTGAGCCGCAGCAGTACCCGCGACCGGGTGCAAAGTTCCCCCTGATCGACGTTGCAAACAGCCAACCAGGGTGAAGCAATTGGCGTTGCAAACGGCCAAAGCAATCGCTCATGCTTGAGCGGCAATAGTACCCGCGACCGGGTGCAATGACTACTGATTGGCGTCGCAAACAGCCGACCAATAGTATGCAATTTTAAGCAGAGATAGTAGCAGCAAAGCAACCAGTTGAAGGAAGCTGTTCCCACCTATATAATGTGGGAATGGGAGGGTGGGTGGCAAACAAATTCCGGTTGCTGCTCAGTGACACTGCAAAGGAAAGCGCAAGCCAAAGTCAGCGCAGCAAGAGCTACCCAAGGCGATTTGGGCACGCATGCGCAGCAGTTGAGTGCACGTGTAAAGCTAGGTCAGTCGCAGCTAGCATGCGATAGAGAGCAGCGCATCGGTCTTACCGCTAACTAGGGTTAGCCCAAAAGCTAACCCAACATTTAGCGCTTGCACCCGAATGCATCAGAGCAGTGTATAGGAAATGGGAGAGCCAAGTGACCACATGCAATGGAAAGTCACAGAGCAAAGCTGCATGCATACCCACGTATTCTCACAACACCGCACAAGGATGATTGGGGTACACCAGTGTGCTGGTTTCGATCAACTGGTGAAGCGATTGGCGTTGCAAACAGCCAAAGTGATCGCTCACGACTGAGCCGCAGCAGTACCCGCGACCGGGTGCAAAGTTCCCCCTGATCGACGTTGCAAACAGCCAACCAGGGTGAAGCAATTGGCGTTGCAAACGGCCAAAGCAATCGCTCATGCTTGAGCGGCAATAGTACCCGCGACCGGGTGCAATGACTACTGATTGGCGTCGCAAACAGCCGACCAATAGTATGCAATTTTAAGCAGAGATAGTAGCAGCAAAGCAACCAGTTGAAGGAAGCTGTTCCCAGAAAACCAGCACACGGCACCCCAGCAAGCGTTCACCACCAATGCACGAGAGCTAAGAACAAGTGATCAAGGCACGAGATGGATAAAGGTAGGCATGCAGATGGATGAAATTCAACGCAGGTTCTCAATACGGCAATTTAGCAATGACAATCGGTACCTGTATGTCAAGGCTATTACATCGACTGGAATGGCAGCACTGCTCCTTCTGGTTGTGCTTGAGCAGCTGGGGCGAGACGCCGGAATTCCTCCATGCGGAAACGAGACAGCGAATCGGCAATGCAGTTAGACTGGCCAGCAATGTGAGCAGCAGTGACGGTGAAATTGAAGCGGGCGCACACAAAGAACAGCTCCCTGATCAGGGTCATCACTGGCGGTGACTTGGATGTGCCGGAGCGGATGCAATCTACCACAGCTTTGTTGTCACAGTGCATTGTGATACGAAGCTGGCGCCATTCCTTGCCCCATGTGCAGCACGCTGTGACCAACGCGTAGAGCTCCGTCCACTCAATGCTGTGAGCGAGTTGCTCAGGAGACCAGGTCCCTTGAAGCCAGCGGCCGCTGTTGAATGCGCCCCAGCCCAGGGTGCCACTGGCATCAGTGAACAGCTCCAAGTCTGGAGATGGTGTCCAATCTGGGAACAGGAAGAATGACTTTCCGTTCCATTGTTCCAGGAGCCGTAGCCACCATTGGATATCTTCCTGGCACTCGGTAGTCAGACTGATGCGGTAGTGAGGTTGCTGGTAGCGACTGCAAATAGACCACAGGCGCCGCATAAACGTCCGGCCGGGTACGATGACTCTTGCAGCGAAGGAGAGTTTCCCCAGAAGAGATTCGAGTTCGCGCTGAGACAGGGTGGGGTTGATGCCCGCTGCAGTCAACAGGCGCTTGATGTCAGCCAATTTGTCGTCCGGGAGCCGGGCTTCCATCTTTTCACAATCCAGGATAATGCCCAGGAATGTCAGGGTTCGAGACGGGCCTTCCACCTTCTCGGCAGGGATCCCGTCGTTAACGCTGGAGCCGGCAGGGCTGGACAGGTGGTGTATCAAGCGTAGCTTGCCATTCTTTTTCGGAACGGCGCCAATGCCAGAGCAGTATATAAATGGGAATGGGGGCGTGTCAAATGGGCCAGCCGTGTAGCCGGCGTTGCAGGAAGCGGTGAGCTGTGCAGACACAAATGCAGAGTGCTGGAATGCTGATGAGAGGTTGGACGAGTGCTGGTTAGTTATGCGGTTGCCGGTAAAGCCAATGTTAAAGCCGCAGCGGAGGCCGTTAATAACATACGAAGCCAATGAACTGTCAGGGTGGTTACGGAGCAGTGATTCGAAGCGAGAAACAGAGAGGGGTGTGTGGACAGCAGGACATGCGCTTGTGAAATCAGTAGAACTGCAGCCAAAGCAGCAGAGTTACTGGCGCCTACCGCACTTAGACCCGTTGTGGTCCTTGGACCCGCAGCGGTTGCAGACATGGGCGTACTTGCACGTGCTGAGACTGCAACGCCCAGCGTTGAAGTTCCGACAGATCGGTTGGCCATTAGACACCGTACGGACTCCATTGAAGGCTTGCTGGTTGTTACGTTGCGGACGAAAGGGACACTGGCCGCCTCCGGGATGGACGAGGCGGCAGGACTCACATGTGGGCCTTGATCGGCTAGTCATGGACATTTGCCACAGATTGATGTCGATGACGTCAAAGCGCTTGCCTGGCTGAGCAGAAATGGCAGAGCGAAACTGGGTGTCGTACGACAGCCAAGCCTCCGGATAGTATTGCCTGTTGGCTGCAACAATGGTGGCTTGGTATGAGAGCATCTCCTGCAGGCGGGACGGGTTGGCAGAACACACGACGTTCATGAAGAGAGTCCATGCCTCCAGCCATGTCGGCAAGTCGTGGACACGTCGACGAACGGGCTGGGCAGCTCCACCTTCCACCACCTCCAGAGACTGGCCGCCACTGCTGAACTGCAGCTGAAGCTGGCGTGGGGCAGGATACGAGGTGGCGATAGTATCGGGCAGCAGCTGGGTGAAATCTACAAAGTCACCCTTCAATATTTTCTCTCGTATAGTCTGGGGAACGGAGAGATTACCAGCGTTGGAAGACTCCGCCGAAGGCTGAGTTCCAGCGGATCCAGGGGCAGTGATGGTGCCGGTGGCCAGCATTGGAGCGATCGCCTCCGACAAGGCAACGGTGATGGCGGAATGCACTTCCCGCCGCACAAACTGGCGCAAATCGTCATTCCTGCTCCGGTCCGGGATCTTGGGAGTCGGAGAAGCTGCTGCAACACTCTCCAGATCCTGCTCTTGCTCCTGCTCCTGCTCCTGCCGCAGGGATGGCGTGGCCGACGGGGATCGAGGTTCCCGTGCCGCCGAGCTCGACGTGTCCTGGATACTGAGCAGCAAACGGGCAAGAAGCTGGGGCTTTGTTCCGCTCGAATTCAGCCCACGGCCTTCCAGCTCGGCCCGCAAGTCCGACACCTTCATACTACGTGCTTCAGAGGTAGACAACATGTTTGTCGTGCAGTAAACGGCTGCGAGGAGGCTACAAGGAGTCTGAATAATTAATTCTATTCTCCTCAAACAAATTCCGGTTGCTGCTCAGTGACACTGCAAAGGAAAGCGCAAGCCAAAGTCAGCGCAGCAAGAGCTACCCAAGGCGATTTGGGCACGCATGCGCAGCAGTTGAGTGCACGTGTAAAGCTAGGTCAGTCGCAGCTAGCATGCGATAGAGAGCAGCGCATCGGTCTTATCGCTAACTAGGGTTAGCCCAAAAGCTAACCCAACATCTAACACTACCAGTTACTAAAAGGAACAGTGGGGTAGGCTTCCCATCACAAAGCAACTGCATGAAATCAGCCATGGACGACATTGCCTACTGAGCAGGCTATCATGATCACAGCGAGGACACACTACCAATGAAACACACACACACACACACACACACACACACACACACACGCACAGAGGAATGCATGAATCGCGCATGGCGCAAGAGATACTTCAACCATGTTGATTCTGGGATTTACTGAATCACCTGCGCATGAATACCAAATCTGGAAACTTGTTAACACTATGTCATACAGAAAGTCCAGAGGCAATGCAGACTGTACACGCACACTTGGCTACACAAGACTGAAAGCAGCATCAGGTATTATGAACATTACCCTAGGTTCATACATGCAACAACCTACATGTGATGCAGATGGGACTGCGTCAATGTGCTGTTCTCCAATTCGTCCGATGATAGTTTGTTGTAGGACAAGAACCTGAAATGCACGCCCATCAAACAATCATGCCACATTTGTTACTACCGTTTAATACAACAGTCCCAGATATGAGCAAACTTAGACTGGTGGTTCCCCAGGTAATGGATACTCTAAAGCCCAAGTACCACATTGCCAAAGAGGACTAGAATATGCTGCTAGTTCCGAAACGAAAATCAATAGAACATGCAAGTAAGAGCATGTCCTTTACAACAAAAAGAGAGTGCAGCGAGAATCAAAAGAAACCGCCTCCGGAGAACTCACACTCTTCTTATGCGTTGACTGGCAAAGACCCTTTTTCCCAGAGTGGATATTTGGTTATTGCTCAAATCACTGCAATGGAAGAGGAAGGAGAGAAAATGATTGAAAAATAAATCAAATGCAGAAATCCTCACATAGCTTGCTTCTACCTTTCTCCCTCCACATCTACTGGCATACAGTGAGACATAGACAACAATGGCAACAGCACAAAAATTGAAGGGTAGTTGGCTGCAGCCAGATATGAGACTGCAAAATTGAATGCGGGAGCCAGGGAAATAAACAACAATAAAGAACGCACAATATGCCATATTTGCAACCGAAAATGTTGTGACAGGGGTTATTTCTCACCTGTCTCGCTGCGTTTGACCAGCGAGAAATATAACAACACTAAAAACACAAAACTAGAGCGCCTATCGACAACTTTCAACACAGCCAGTAGTACAAGTGCTACCTGGACATTTCATGGAAATTGCTACAGATTTTAACCCTTTAAGAGCCGCCCCATACTTGAATGCGTCGTAAACGACGCATTCAAATGCAAAATTTCAAAAGATCGTAACTCAGTCCAATCTCGCTCAAATCCAGTGATCGAAATATCCAGGGCGAAGAGACATCTCTCACCTGTCGGGAGAAACAATCCGCGAAGCGCTGCGAGCAACGGTTCCTGAGATAAATCACTCGTAAGTTGAGCCGCGATCGCGGCAATTTCAAAAGCGCGCAGTGCGACTTTAGTATTGATAATTTTGAGACTTTTCGTCAAGCTGGCTTACTCGAATTTGCACGGGTTTCACTGTTGATATTGTCAAGAGTACACAGCGAAAAAATTGGAACTCCACGATCGAGTAAAATGAAATATCTGGAGCGGGACGCAATTGGCCGCATTTGGGGCATTTTTCGTACTGTCGCTGCGATCTAGCGCTGGATAGGCGGTGTGCTGGCTATCATGATCGACCTCATTCTCTTCCTCTCGCGGAGACCTTTCCAGGAAGCCCTAGATTGTGAGGATTGAGTGAGTAGAACTGAAGCTATGATCCAAAGAACACGAAAAAATGCACAATTTTGAAAATTTCCTGTGGCTCTTAAAGGGTTAACACAAATAGTGTTATCACCGTCAGGCTGGGATTTTACAGCCAGTTTATTCAGTCAACTAGTTTTAAATAGGTCTAAGCTTAAGCGAAGGCTACATACCTGCTTTATGCAGGTTGATGCCAACGCGAACAAGCAAAATAATAATAATAATACAGCCAGACCTCGTTTATCCGGATCCCTCGCCATCCGGAAGAAAATCGCTGGTTACCGATGTGCAGCATATGTTATGCATACAACATAACCGGACCTCGCGATCCGCATACCGGTGCATGATTTTGTGTACAAACTGGTTAAAATGTGTACAAAATGCTTCGTCGTATCCGGTTGCATGTGGCTGGCTAGAGCTTGCAGAAGCTAGCATCAAGGAGTTGTACAAGCAAACGAGGTCCTTGACCTGCTGGGTGTGTGCGGACAGCACTCAGTTGCATGCACTTGTCATTTTTCTCGCTTGTTTTACATACTGGGCACGCTAGTTGTACTGCATAGGACCTGTCTACATGTATGTATGATGTCACTGCTTTTGACATGCCACATGCATGTACAGTATGTGTGTTCAGTTATCCGGTTACTTCGCCTATCCGGATGTTTTTGTGGAAAACAGATGTGTGCGGTTAAGCGAGGTCTGACTGTAATAATAATAATTTGAAACTCGGATGTTGAGCCATAAATAAATGTAGAAGAGAAAAGGACATATGGATACGAGTTAAGAGTAACTCTCCATCACTGTAACATGATACTATATACAGTCAGAAAGTGTTGTCAGGACGTCGAATGTTTCAGTACTCTGTCAGTTTCGTGCCTAGTTATTGCACTTTCTGACTGTATATAGTATCATGTTACAGTGATGGAGAGTTACTCTTAGCTCGTATCCATATGTCCTTTTCTCTTCTACAATAATAATAATGCATGGTATAGAAATTCTTCTCTTGACAGAAATATAATTTTATAGCTCAGTCGATGCTTACAGGCTCAATGTGAAGAACGAGGGACTTCCCATCAGGATGTCGTCAAACAAGCCATTATCCAGCCGAGTCAAGTTGTTCTGGTTCAAATTGCTACACAGACAATTGCGATAAAGGCACACAGTCAACGCATTTAGAAAGCATACCAATAGCATACGATTGCCAGAGCTAGGCAACACTCACAACACATACAATTTCACATCAAAAAGCATATAGGATCAGGCTAGGGTTCATTGAAAGACAGAACGTCGAAAAAAGGCCTGTGGATATGTCCCGTTGGACGGTCAGACAGCTTGCCTAATAGCTCTGACTCACATCGTAGAGGCACTAGTTAGACCAGTGAACGTTCCCACACTCAGCCGAGTGATTCCGCAGTTTGTCAGTGTGCTGCAGATAACATGAAAGATAAAAAGCAAATGAGCACACAAGCATTGAGTTTAGGGTTGATAAGTCGACACATGTATCCTCTGGCTTTAACATGAGTACTCCATAGCAACCACACTTGCACTCTTTCGTCTACACAATGTCCCAATACTATAGACAACAGTTGCAGTCTCTTGTGGTATTGGGACTTGTAGCCATTTGGCTATTCACGCAACACAACTACAGAAGGCGCTGCACAACTTTCCACTCACAGCGAAGCCAGATTGGACTGGCTTTTAAATGTGTTTGGCATCAGGTTACCACCGATTACATTTCCACTCATTGACCTAGAGACACGAATGCAGAGCAGAGACAAACACAATACATGTAGCTTTCAATGGCGGTTACAGCAGTCCAGCCGGGTCACTAACTAGTCACTACTGTGTGTCTTGAGCAGGTATGGTGCACTGTGTGGCTTGAGCAGGTATGGTGCACTGTGCGGCTTGAGCAGGTATGGTGCACTGTGTGTCTTGAGCAGGTATGGTGCACTGTGTGTCTTGAGCAGGTATGGTGCACTGTGTGGCTTGAGTAGGTATGGCGCACTGTGTGGCTTGAGCAGGTATGGTGCACTGTGTGTCTTGAGCAGGTATGGTGCACTGTGTGTCTTGAGCAGGTATGGTGCACTGTGTGTCTTGAGCAGGTATGGTGCACTGTGTGTCTTGAGCAGGTATGGTGCACTGTGTGTCTTGAGCAGGTATGGTGCACTGTGTGTCTTGAGCAGGTATGGTGCACTGTGTGGCTTGAGCAGGTATGGCGCACTGTGTGGCTTGAGCAGGTATGGTGCACTGTGTGTCTTGAGGAGGTATGGTGCACTGTGTGTCTTGAGCAGGTATGGCGCACTGTGTGTCTTGAGCAGGTATGGTGCACTGTGTGTCTTGAGCAGGTATGGTACACTGTGTGTCTTGAGGAGGTACGGTGCACTGTGTGTCTTGAGCAGGTATGGTGCACTGTGTGGCTTGAGCAGGTATGGTACACTGTGTGTCTTGAGGAGGTATGGTGCACTGTGTGTCTTGAGCAGGTATGGCGCACTGTGTGTCTTGAGCAGGTATGGTGCACTGTGTGTCTTGAGCAGGTATGGTACACTGTGTGTCTTGAGGAGGTACGGTGCACTGTGTGTCTTGAGCAGGTATGGTGCACTGTGTGGCTTGAGCAGGTATGGTGCACTGTGTGGCTTGAGCAGGTATGGTACACTGTGTGTCTTGAGCAGGTATGGTGCACTGTGTGTCTTGAGCAGGTATGGTGCACTGTGTGGCTTGAGCAGGTATGGTACACTGTGTGTCTTGAGCAGGTATGGTGCACTGTGCGTCTTGAGCAGGTATGGTACACTTTGTGTCTTGAGCAGGTATGGTGCACTGTGTGTCTTGAGCAGGTATGGTACACTGTGTGTCTTGAGCAGGTTTGGTGCAATAATGGAAGGTTTCTATGCTGTAATCTGCTTTCTCGTCCACCAGGTGTTAATACCGTGTATACGAGCAGCACTAACTAACCATCACATGACATTACAACTACATCAGAAAAGGGCAATCTACTGCTGGCGACAATCAGCACAGTTGACGGATAGCCTGGAGTTTTCAGAAACGTAAACTGTGAGTTCACTGGTAGGAGCTATAACACTGTCTCACACTGGAGTAATGCCTTACAGTCTGTAGAGGCCAGTGAGGTTCATAAACGCGTCAGCATCGATACTGCTGATGCGATTGTTGTCCAGAAATCTGTACATCCGCGCATTCACACAGACAAATATACATGCATGGATACACAGACACACAGACACCAACATGTAGCGAGACACAGACGCACAGATGCACAAACTCACACTCAGATATGCGTACAGGGTCCGTGTAGTTGATAAAAACTATAGAACTCTCCAGTCTCTTTAACGGTGTCTGATGTTTGGAAACTGAAACACATTTCCCCACTTGCTTGTATTGACTATTAGCATTTCTTTTTGGGGATTGTCTTTATCATGAACCCCCGAGTTACAATTGTGTCCTGTTTGGTGTTCAAACTGGGCTTGAGAAATAACTTTGTACATTGAATTTCTAAAGCAAGCATGTGCGGCACACTGTTCAATCCAAGTCAAACTATGCTTTTTGGCTAGGAAGGATAAACACATGGCATCATGACGATTATGTTCTATGCTATTCTGTGCTTGGTGATATGTCCCTGAACAGTATAACAATGCAGCCATTGGAAACGAGATTTCACTGGGCAGAAGTTTTAATGTCAAAGGAAGTTGATGGCAATCTTACAAGCTCGACAAGTTACTGCCAGCAGCTCCAAACGTTGCAGGTCTGAGCGTAGTCAAGTTGTTGCTTCTCAAATTTCTGCAAAGAGAAAAAAAAGAGAGTAAAACATTATATTCGCAGCTCTCTTCGACCTGAAGTACATCTCAATATCTGGTCAGATCTTCCTGTCTATGTGCCAGCCATTAGCAAACCAGGTCTCTTGCTCAGTGTGTAGGTCAGTCTGCCGGTCTGTTGGTCTTTTGATCTGTATGTCGGATACCCGAAACAAAAAAGCATCATCAACAATCAATCCATTTCAACTTGATCAGCAGGCAATTGCAGGCGTACAGCGTTGCCTTTCTCCAAGATATTGGAATGTGGTGTTGGAACCAAACCTTACATGGTAGAGCGTCTTGCCATTCCTGAGAAAGCTCCATCCATGATATCTGTTAGACCACAGTCCACCATTTCACTGAACACAACAAGCAAAATTGCAGAGATATTTTGGAAGCAGCCTCGCGTCACCAGAGTACGATATTCTAAGTGAGTGCCCACACAAATACACACATACACACCCACACCCACCCACACAGACACACTTTATAACACACATAACTATAGTATAAGTATTGATCACACGTGTGAAAGAACTGCACCCAGGCTGTAATGCATGCGAATCCTCGAGTTATGTTTAGGACAGAGGTGACAGTGGATCTCACATGCTTCCAAGTTGTGCACTCTGCGTAAACTCAGCTGGCACTGTAGCAATAGGGTTGTTTGACAAGTACCTAGTAGAGGCCAGACAATGAGAAGCACATACACATCACAGCAAACCATGTCAGCAAGGTATCAAATGATAATGGAACTAGCACATACACATCACAGCAAACCTTGTGAGCAAGGTATCAAAAGATAATAGAACTACGCACCCAGTGATAACACTCATGCCGCAAAACAAGCGATGCATCTGTTTATATTTGACCATCCTACAGTTCACCGTGCAATGCTTTGGAATACCGGAGAATCCACATGCACTTTGCATAGACAGAGATTGCAGGCAGTCGGCTTACAAGTACAATCACATACCATGGAACATTCCCTACATCACAATTGCCTAAAGACAAATTTAGGACAGAGGCAACAGAAAGTACAAGCCAAACTGATCAAGGAGGTTTCAAACGGTTGTCTTCATTGACTCGTTGACCAGGCTTACAGTTGCAAGGGACTCTGTGGAAATATTGGAGTAACGCGCAAGGCTGTTGCATTTAGCGAGTTGTTACGGAGGTCTCTGCATACAACACAGGTGATAATCGCCAAAGATCACACAGATGTTTCTCATGCACATGATTGCTAAAATGTACACAGTCCATGCTGTATTGCCACAGAAGAAGGCCCTGGTATTGCTGAGAGTATTGGACAATACACTTACCTACTGATGAAGGTCATAACACACTCCAGCACCAGACTAGTGCTTTCTACAAGCTAGAGCGCAAACAGATTCTAAAACTACGCTATAATGTCCACTAACACCACCAGCTACTAAACAATCAGCTCATGCGATAACATTGCACGACACTGACCGACGATACGGACGTTCTACAACTAACTGGCTAACAGGTGGTGTTAGCGGACATTATAGCGTAGCTTGTAGTTCCTTGGTCCTTTTTCTTTCTTATAAATTAATCCTTGGCTCTCCATCCGAGTACATTCTAAAACCATTGATAAAACCATTGATACAATGTCCTGTAGTTCACCGTTTGTGTAGCAGATACCTATAAATATACTTAGAAGGACTCTAGCTAAACACCCCTCAAAGAGAAAACATATTGCCACTTGTAATGAAGACAAACTGAAGCAAGTAACCAGCAAAGACAATCACAAGAGGAAAGTGGAAACCGTTCTGAAAATAAACTTTCCGGGGAAGGCTGAATTTGACACGCGAGTCATGACTACTAACCCAAACTACTCACAGAAGGATAAGGCGGGTACATGGCGTGAATGTATTTTGCCCAATCCAAGCGATGATGTTGCTCTCCAAGTGTCTGAAACGATAAGGAGAAAATGAAACAACACTAGATGTGCAGGAATGGACTCGGATGGAGAGCCAAGGATTAATTTACACAAAAGAGAAAGGACCAACTGGAACTACAAGTTACCTTATACTTGTAGTTCCCACTTGTAACTGGTGGTGTTAGGGGATAGTTGTAACTGGTGGTGTTAGGGGATAGTTGTAACTGGTGGTGTTAGGGGATAGTTGTAACTGGTGGTGTTAGGGGATAGTTGTGACTGGTGGTGTTAGGGGATAGTTGTGACTGGTGGTGTTAGGGGATAGTTGTGACTGGTGGTGTTAGGGGATAGTTGTAACTGGTGGTGTTAGGGGATAATTGTGACTGGTGGTGTTAGGGGATAGTTGTGACTGGTGGTGTTAGGGGATAGTTGTAACTGGTGGTGTTAGGGGATAGTTGTAACTGGTGGTGTTAGGGGATAGTTGTGACTGGTGGTGTTAGGGGATAGTTGTAACTGGTGGTGTTAGGGGATAGTTGTAACTGGTGGTGTTAGGGGATAGTTGTAACTGGTGGTGTTAGGGGATAGTTGTGACTGGTGGTGTTAGGGGATAGTTGTAACTGGTGGTGTTAGGGGATAGTTGTGACTGGTGGTGTTAGGGGATAGTTGTAACTGGTGGTGTTAGGGGATAGTTGTAACTGGTGGTGTTAGGGGATAGTTGTGACTGGTGGTGTTAGGGGATAGTTGTAACTGGTGGTGTTAGGGGATAGTTGTAACTGGTGGTGTTAGGGGATAGTTGTGACTGGTGGTGTTAGGGGATAGTTGTAACTGGTGGTGTTAGGGGATAGTTGTGACTGGTGGTGTTAGGGGATAGTTGTAACTGGTGGTGTTAGGGGATAGTTGTAACTGGTGGTGTTAGGGGATAGTTGTGACTGGTGGTGTTAGGGGATAGTTGTAACTGGTGGTGTTAGGGGATAGTTGTAACTGGTGGTGTTAGGGGATAATTGTGACTGGTGGTGTTAGGGGATAGTTGTGACTGGTGGTGTTAGGGGATAGTTGTAACTGGTGGTGTTAGGGGATAGTTGTAACTGGTGGTGTTAGGGGATAGTTGTGACTGGTGGTGTTAGGGGATAGTTGTGACTGGTGGTGTTAGGGGATAGTTGTAACTGGTGGTGTTAGGGGATAGTTGTGACTGGTGGTGTTAGGGGATAGTTGTGACTGGTGGTGTTAGGGGATAGTTGTGACTGGTGGTGTTAGGGGATAGTTGTAACTGGTGGTGTTAGGGGATAATTGTGACTGGTGGTGTTAGGGGATAATTGTGACTGGTGGTGTTAGGGGATAGTTGTAACTGGTGGTGTTAGGGGATAGTTGTGACTGGTGGTGTTAGGGGATAGTTGTGACTGGTGGTGTTAGGGGATAGTTGTAACTGGTGGTGTTAGGGGATAATTGTGACTGGTGGTGTTAGGGGATAGTTGTGACTGGTGGTGTTAGGGGATAGTTGTAACTGGTGGTGTTAGGGGATAGTTGTAACTGGTGGTGTTAGGGGATAGTTGTGACTGGTGGTGTTAGGGGATAGTTGTAACTGGTGGTGTTAGGGGATAGTTGTAACTGGTGGTGTTAGGGGATAGTTGTGACTGGTGGTGTTAGGGGATAGTTGTAACTGGTGGTGTTAGGGGATAGTTGTAACTGGTGGTGTTAGGGGATAGTTGTGACTGGTGGTGTTAGGGGATAGTTGTGACTGGTGGTGTTAGGGGATAGTTGTAACTGGTGGTGTTAGGGGATAGTTGTAACTGGTGGTGTTAGGGGATAATTGTAACTGGTGGTGTTAGGGGATAGTTGTAACTGGTGGTGTTAGGGGATAATTGTGACTGGTGGTGTTAGGGGATAGTTGTAACTGGTGGTGTTAGGGGATAGTTGTGACTGGTGGTGTTAGGGGATAGTTGTGACTGGTGGTGTTAGGGGATAGTTGTAACTGGTGGTGTTAGGGGATAATTGTGACTGGTGGTGTTAGGGGATAGTTGTAACTGGTGGTGTTAGGGGATAGTTGTAACTGGTGGTGTTAGGGGATAGTTGTGACTGGTGGTGTTAGGGGATAGTTGTAACTGGTGGTGTTAGGGGATAGTTGTGACTGGTGGTGTTAGGGGATAGTTGTAACTGGTGGTGTTAGGGGATAGTTGTAACTGGTGGTGTTAGGGGATAGTTGTAACTGGTGGTGTTAGGGGATAGTTGTAACTGGTGGTGTTAGGGGATAGTTGTAACTGGTGGTGTTAGGGGATAGTTGTAACTGGTGGTGTTAGGGGATAATTGTGACTGGTGGTGTTAGGGGATAGTTGTGACTGGTGGTGTTAGGGGATAGTTGTAACTGGTGGTGTTAGGGGATAGTTGTAACTGGTGGTGTTAGGGGATAGTTGTAACTGGTGGTGTTAGGGGATAATTGTGACTGGTGGTGTTAGGGGATAGTTGTGACTGGTGGTGTTAGGGGATAGTTGTAACTGGTGGTGTTAGGGGATAGTTGTGACTGGTGGTGTTAGGGGATAGTTGTGACTGGTGGTGTTAGGGGATAGTTGTGACTGGTGGTGTTAGGGGATAGTTGTAACTGGTGGTGTTAGGGGATAGTTGTGACTGGTGGTGTTAGGGGATAATTGTAACTGGTGGTGTTAGGGGATAGTTGTAACTGGTGGTGTTAGGGGATAGTTGTGACTGGTGGTGTTAGGGGATAGTTGTGACTGGTGGTGTTAGGGGATAGTTGTAACTGGTGGTGTTAGGGGATAGTTGTAACTGGTGGTGTTAGGGGATAGTTGTGACTGGTGGTGTTAGGGGATAGTTGTAACTGGTGGTGTTAGGGGATAGTTGTGACTGGTGGTGTTAGGGGATAGTTGTAACTGGTGGTGTTAGGGGATAGTTGTAACTGGTGGTGTTAGGGGATAATTGTGACTGGTGGTGTTAGGGGATAGTTGTGACTGGTGGTGTTAGGGGATAGTTGTGACTGGTGGTGTTAGGGGATAGTTGTAACTGGTGGTGTTAGGGGATAGTTGTGACTGGTGGTGTTAGGGGATAGTTGTGACTGGTGGTGTTAGGGGATAGTTGTAACTGGTGGTGTTAGGGGATAGTTGTAACTGGTGGTGTTAGGGGATAGTTGTAACTGGTGGTGTTAGGGGATAGTTGTGACTGGTGGTGTTAGGGGATAGTTGTGACTGGTGGTGTTAGGGGATAGTTGTAACTGGTGGTGTTAGGGGATAGTTGTGACTGGTGGTGTTAGGGGATAGTTGTGACTGGTGGTGTTAGGGGATAGTTGTAACTGGTGGTGTTAGGGGATAGTTGTAACTGGTGGTGTTAGGGGATAGTTGTAACTGGTGGTGTTAGGGGATAGTTGTGACTGGTGGTGTTAGGGGATAGTTGTGACTGGTGGTGTTAGGGGATAGTTGTACAGGTCCTCCCTCGTTAGTAGATAATCTCTGGGCCATCGAAAAAGTTATCTTATAACGAGACTTATCTTGTAGCAGGACTTGCAGCTAAAGGTGAAATAGGCACAACTTCGTACTTACCGGGGCTACCCTCCATACAACATAAATTATCGATGCTTCAACTCGTTATAAGATAATTGAAAATCTTCAAGTTACTCCAACATAACTCTTCCTTGGATGCAAAGGATCGTCCATATTCACGAATACATAGACATAATACGTTTCCTCTTTCTGCTTTATCCTACTTGTTTTGGCCTTGGTCCTGCATGGTCAATATTATCTTATACTGAGGGTTTGGCACTCCAGGGACCTGGGAAAAGGGTCGTTATAACGAATTTTATGTACTAACGGATTATGTTGTAACCGGACCTGTAAACAGTTGTATAGACCACGTTTCGCCAGGGGATTTCAGATTTCTATTTACTAACGGGGTTTATGTAGTAACCGGACTCGTTATAATGAGGGAGGACCTGTAACTGGTGGTGTTAGGGGATAGTTGTGACTGGTGGTGTTAGGGGATAGTATAGCATAACTTGTAGTTCCTTGGTCCTTTCTCTGTTGTATAAATTAACACTAGATGTACTGTGTATACTCAGAATATACAAGACAACATCAAAATATCAACTGCTTTAAATTTTATGCGAGTTCAACATCAGCCACGTGACCATAATTATATAAGAGCATGTTGTACTTACAGAGAAATAAGATACCTCAGCCCTGCAAAGTCGCCACTCTTCAGTAATGTCAACATGTTGCCTTGGAGGAGTCTGCAGCAGCGAAGCAGGCAAACAGTGCATTGACCACTACCAGTAAGCAGGCAAACAGTGCATTGACCACTACCAGTAAGCATGGCATAACAGTGTGGTGTAATCGCAGTGAAATATGTATTCCTCGTGCACAAGAGCAGTGTGCAAAACGTTCTTCCAGCACTAACACAGTTGAATTGGGCGCTATGTCTGTGGTGTGTGGGCATGACAACTTGAAGAGGTGCCATGCATGGAAAAACTCATTTCAAAATTCAGAAAACAACTAGTGTGTGTGTGTGGTTTGGTACCAGAAGAGCATAACAATGCCTGCTGGCAGGAATAACATTGATTGTTCTGTGCGAACAGTGGAACATGCACAACAGCCATGGATTGGTTTCAACACTTACAAATACTCGGTGAAAATGCTGATGTTCTTCGGTACAGTTGATAGGCCTCTCCAGCTGCAGTTGGTTTGGACAAACGCAGACGTGACTGCTGTGCACTCACATCCAGCGGGGCATTCTGCAAAGCAGCATGGAAGCAAAATTACAAAAATATTGACAAAGGGATTCACAGTAAACTCAAAAGAAAAGTCGTGGAGTGCCCCTGTTAGTGCCATGTTTGATATCAATATAGAAACCGTGTACACTTTTGCACGGGGGATGGGGGAGCAAAATGTTCCTTACCGTGTAGAAGATCTAGTGAGCAATTGGGCAATGCAAAGTTGGTCTGGCACAGGCATCGGCCAGTCCGTGGTAGGCATGATTGTGTGTTGCGGGTCACACACGGGCATAGCAACGCACAGCTACGACCATACGTATACGCCCCACCTGTTTGCGAGCAGCCTACAGAGAACAGTGTGTAAGAGATGATGGAAAGGACAGTTGCAACAGGACAATGATTAGAAAAACAAATAAACAGAACAGTAGGAGCATGACAGAGTAACTGAGGAGAAACAGAAATAATTTTAATCATTCCATGCATGCCCAAAGGTACATGAGTGTTTGAAGCATGGGAGGAGAGGGGCGGAGGCGGTAATAGAAGACGTACCACAGGCATCTGCTTCAGCTGGGTAAGTACTGTTTACATCCAATTTCCAGGAGACGTTATTCGCCCACTGCTGAAGGCAAGGACAGCTGAAATAGTTCTGGTCACAAGACCTGCAGAGGCAGAACCAAATTACCAAAAAATAGATACTCTTGAGTTACAAAGGAGTAATTTTGGTAATTGCCGGCAAAGTGCTCAATGCACAAAGTGCAGAGCGTTTCACACGAAAGAAGAGAAAGAAGTCCAGTTTGGATTTGTCGTAACTCAATGTTTCATGCTACTGCAATCATCAGACAACTGATACCATAACCTGAGACTAATCATTATGAATAAGATCATGCGTGATACTTGGCGCTTAAATTGACATTACTCTACGCGATTCACGAATGAAGGCCAGTATCACAAAAGACGTTGTAGATGATGTGAGGGATAAGGATAATGTTAGCACCGACGTATGCCAAACCAGTCATGACTGTGCCGGGTACTGTCCTTGCACGGCAGCTGCGACTGGCTACTACTTGTTCTACTATGTCACGCTAGGTGTGAAGTGTTTTATGTATTATTTGTGACGGCATTCTCTCATTTTCATACTCATGAGTTAGAGGGAAAGTTGCAAACAGGAAAAGATACCATAGAGAGTATCAACAATAGTGCACGGCAGTGCATTTTACAGAAGTGTGGCACCCCACCGAACGAAGAGTGCTCACTCCGACAGCAGAAATGCTATGGTCAGCATACATCTCCTGAAAATCATTTTCCAGCTGTCACAAATGCAATGGAACAAAGATAGAAACAGGACCAGGTCACTTACAACCCTGATGATGTCAAATTCACTGCCGAGCGTAAGAATTGTGTCTCGTTGAACCCTATCAGCTCGTTGTTGTTGATGTTCCTATGAACGAGGGGAAAGAAAGAACAGCAAACAAGGATATGAAGCACCAGGGATAAGTAAAACTCGTAAGGCAGCAGATAAATTCTTTTGGATCTGCAGTACCAATATCAAGCAAGATACATATGTACTGCACTTGCAAAGTCAAGATAGAAAGGAATACACACAATTATACCGTGGCAACACGACACAAGAGTAGATGGGTTCGAATTTCACATTCTTTTGATAAAGATCAGGAATCATCACCATAACGAATATGGGAAGCTTGACATACAGGTCTGCTCTCGATATAACAACTCTCACTTGTACATAAACCTCGCTAGTACGTGAAAAAATTAATTCCGTGCCGAAACAGCATCACTCCCATACAAACTTTGTTCTACACAACGTAATCCTACATAACATAAACCTCGACATAACACACGTTATGGTGCGGTCCCCGACGTGCACACTCTCGATACAACGTAAATTCATGTGCACAGTACGATCAAGCGGTAGCTGTAGCTAGGCAGTTTAGGCCAGTTTAGTCCTACATAACGTAAACCTCGGCATAACGCACCCTACGGTGCGGTCCCCGACATGCGCACTCTCGATACAACGTAGATTCACGTGCGCGGTACAATCAAGTTGTAGCCGTAGCTAGCCAGTTTAGTCCTATTGTGCATACCTTCTGCGGCATTGATGGTATCTGATGTCGATGGTGGTACAGTGTGTATATGTTGGACTCAGTAGAGCGTCCAGCCCCTATATGATGTCCAACCCCTATATAGAGTCCATTGGTCCAAAATCCACTGTACAGAGTCCAAACTTGGAATCAACTGTGAGCTCAAAGTTTAGATGGACATCACTCCCTGTATAGAGTCCAGCCAATTGGCTTCACCCCTATAGAGAGTCCATTGGTCCAAAATCAACTGTATGAAGTCCAAACTTTGAAATCAACTACATGTATAAGGAGTCTTTATGTGGACAACACTCCCTGTATAAAGTCCAGCCAATTAGGCATCCCCTATCCAGAGTTCGAAATTAGACATATGATCTTCTGTAAGCAGTGAATATTAACCAGAAAACGGCCTCTCCCTTTAATCCTTTACATCATTCACTTCTGAAGATAAAAATAAGTATTGAGGCGCCACTGCAGCCACTTCATTACATGAAAAAACCCTACGAGGACCATCCTCAAATCAAGTGGTCTCTTCGCAGACGCTGCAAATTACAATATCTCAATCGTGTAGTGTTGCCAAATTATTGTGCACGCACACACACACACATGCACACACCCACACAACGCCAAGAAAATACCTAGAAAAAAACCAAGAATCGAAAGAGAATAATGGAGAGCCAAGGATTAATTATTTGTTTTCAAATTATTGTGAGCGCGCGCACACACACACACACACACACACACACACACACACACACACACACACACACAAACTTATACAACGCCAAGAAAACACCAAGAAAAGAATAGAGACACAATACACACGCAACTCCAACAGCCATGCAAACGTCCACCCATTTACACGTAAAGTCAAGAGGGATAACAAATAATTATACGAAACGAATGCATACGTGGGCGGATGCACGCACGTTTACATACATGTAGTAGTGTAAGAGAGTAACATAGTGCAGTAGTCAGCATAATACTAGCACATGCTGAGAGTGCAATAGCAAGCTTCACCATTGCTCATGGCCATGCAAATGTTCAGCAGCACTCAGTTCCGCAAGCTTCTGAAGATCAGCACACCTGCAACAAATAGATAGCACAAGGATACGCTTATTACCGTAATGATGCATGGGAGCACACAACTACCAAGTTCTCAACGAATGTGATGCTCAATGAAAATCCATACACACAAAGACCTGTGAACAGGTGAGGGTGGGGACAATAATCTATTAGTAATACGAGGAATAAGATCGTTTGTGCACACTCAAGACGCACAGACACACCACCATACATGTAGTGTACACAGTGTTTCACTCCACTGCAACTAAATTGAAATGAGATGATTTAAACAATCTGTACAGCGTTGCAGTCAGTCAGTCTTCCCCAAGATGGAAATGTAATGATTTGTTGTCACGAGGCAGTTTCACTGACACAATGTCATGTGTGTGACATCAAAACGGTTACTTCATGGAATACGAGTACATATATTAGCTTGAGAAGCTTTTTCTTGTCATCGGCATACCAGAAATCCTCCTCCTCCTCCTCCTACTACTACTACTAGTACACTGGCACTGCGTTTGTGGATCCCATTGTATTTGAGATCATACTAGAGCCTAGTAGAGGAAGAGTGTCGTGGAGTTCACATAATTATCACAGGGATAAAAATACATTTCTCATGAAATAAAATAATAATTGATGATAGCTAGACGATCGTATACGATTGATGCAAAGTCCTTGCAGTCCTTGAGGACTATTACGAAGTGGTTGATTACTTTTAGGGCATTCATTCAAGCAACATCAAACAAACGCGGTACGATCCTTGAAAATGGAAAAAAAATTCAAGCATAACGACAGAACAGCAGGCCAATCGAGACGAGTAAAAGCTTCCTTACCTCAGTCATCGTCCTGCCATGTACTTGGACAGCCTTTCGACACGGTGGTACAGGCAGCTCTTGTCCAGTCAAACAGGGTATCCTTGTGGCGTCGAACGAAAGAGAGTGTCAGTGTATCTGACTCGTCAGATTGGAACTGTGCTGAACTTTCTCGTTCTCCGCTTTCTGCTTTCATCCCTCGCTCTGATGAAACCGTTCAAACGCCTTACTGGCAGCAATGGCCAGCCAAACAGGGGATCCTTGTGGCGTCGAACGAAAGAGAGTTTCAGTGTACCTGACTCGTCAGATTTGAACTGTGCTGAACTTTTCTCGTTCTGCAATTTCTGCTTTCATCCCGCGCACTGATGAAACGTCTTCAGAGAACCACAATATGCTTTCCGGATTTGATTTTGAACGTCTCCTTATCCTCCTTAGTTACCTCGAGATAGATTACTGTCAGCAACTGCACAGCAGAACTGGCAGCCATGGCTGAAGCGAAGAAAGGAATGCGCTGCCATGAGGCAAGCAAAACTGAAAAGGTGTTTGTTCTCTTTCGGGCACAACACACAGGACGGCGTGACTGGATAAACTGGACTCCTGGACCGTGAATAGGGGACTTGTAGAAAAAGTGTACTCCTTATAGGGGATTGCGCGGCAGGATGAAGCTGATCAAAACTGAGTGGACTTTTGGACTCTGTATAGTGGATTTTGGACCAATGGACTCTTTATAGGGTGCTGGACATCATATAGTGCATGGACTCTATACTGAGTCCTACATATATGTTTGCACGGTTGAACCCGCCTTGTAATACCCTTCATTTTGAGGTACATCTTGTATTATACACACGGTTTTCTACAAAACATAACTCTCGATATAACTAATTTTTTGCGTGGTCCCAGAGATTATGTTATATAGAGAGTCGACCCGGAGTACCAAAAGTTACATGAGATTTATGACTTGTGTCTCGGACTCTCCTTGATGACCAACTATCTCAGACAGTCATGTGCCATAATGTGCTTACAAGACTTTGAGATTAGGACCTCCTAACAGCACCAGCTTGGTGATGTTATTGTTCTGAAGATATCTGAGGAGAAAACAACACCCATGTACAACCACACATGCATGCACACACATGCACATCCACACATGCATGCACACATACACATACACTCCCACACACACCCACACATGCATGTATGCACACACACACACACACAGACATGCACACACACACACACACACATGCACATAGCCACGCATGCACGCAAGCAGCGGGCACGCACACACACATGCATGCACACATACACATACACATACACTCCCACGCACACACACACACACACACACACACACACACACACACACACACACACACACACACACATGCACATAGCCACGCACGTATGCAAGCAGCGGGCACGCACACACACACACACAACGATAGTTGGTGCATGTACATGCAACGCCTTACTTGGTAATGTTTAAGTATTTGATTATTCTTGGACTGGAAACCCTTGACGTGGTCAGCCAAACATCTTCTTACTATAATGCTGTCAGAACTTGACATCGGACACTGCATTAGAAACTAGGTACTAGACTCACAGCTCCGTAAGTGGTAAGTCCTCTCCAAAGTTGACTGTTACCAACATATTATTGGACACATTTCTGCAGAACAACACAGGGATGAGCGCACAAGCACATACTTGAGAACCCGTAATCAACAATAATTTTCCTTTACAGGTTTTCAATACATCTACACGTTAAAGATGACAACGAAGAGCAATTTGAGTGCAACATATAATGATAGCCCAGGAGAGAGGAATAGCGGATACGAAGAACCAACCATTCAAGAATAGAAAACTCGTTCGCATAAGTATTGCCCAAACTACACAAATCTTCCCAGTGAGCACATAATTGTATGGTTATTGTGTGTTTGCCAATCATCTCCAACCTTCATTCTCCTGCAATATTAGTGCGCTGTGACTCACAGATATCTGAGCGATGGCGTGAAAAGACCAGATCCTGGGAAAATCCAAAGCAGGTTGCCAGATAAATCCCTGTGTATGTCGGAGTAGTGAAGTAAGAGGGAAATGATGGACAACACATTCAATGTACAGCTTTCTAGGAGACAAGCAACTGATCCCTACGACAAAAACAACAAACTTTAACCCCACCATCAAAACTTTACTCAGAAGGAAGAAATTCACAATATAGTTCTTGAACATTCTTGCAGACGACTTAGCATACCCTGCAGATAGAAAATTCCGTCTACGAAACAAGGTGTTTGGATTTGAAATGCCAAAGCAACGCATAGATAAGTGACCGACTCTTTCTTGCACATCCAGCAACACAATGTATAGATGGACACATTCATGAAGACACACAGGGAGAGGGAGCTGGCAACTGGATGGTACAGAAATCACTTACAGTCTTTTCAATGCTGTCAAGTATGAGAACGTTCCTCCCTGGATATGTGTGAGCTTATTGTGGGACAAATCGCTACAGCAGAAGAACAGAGAACAATCATCAAACAGATAGCAAGTGCCGGCAAAACCTTAGTGCAGCTAAGACAAAGAAAGTGTGTCTAGAGCACCCAGCAGACTATGCACACCGAAAAGAGGACTCTAATCCCAAATTAGCCAGGTAAAGTAGCACTCACAGAACCCAGCAACACGGGACCACTGGAAATCAGAACATGCAAAACTCACATTTCAGTTAGTTGTGACAGTGTAGCAGGGAAATCAGCCACAACCAGCTGCTTGATTGAATTGCCTGAAAGTAACCTAGGTACAAAGAGAACAAGAAATAAAGCAAAAGCCAGTGTCAGTGCCTAGCAGAGATGACTGTGCAAACAATATTACTCTACAGCTGCTAGGTGATCTGCTTGCTAACCAACAATTCCAGCTTTGCAATTCCTTTCCCTAGTCGTACACCACTCCTGTTCATATTGCAGAGGAACATAATACCAGCCACTCATACCCTGTTCCGGACAGAAAGGCACACTGGGTACTTGTGCCATGGACAAAAGTTCTGGTTAGGAGGGGTGTACACGCCGACCTGAAGAGACTACTCACAGTTTGGATGTGGTAACGGGAAAGCCATGTGGCATCACAGTCAAATTGCTGCACGTCACGGTGCCATCCGGATTGCCGCAGTTGCAGCCAGAGAAGTCACAGGCTACAGGAACACAAATCCAGGAAGAGAGAAAGAAAGAGGAAGAGAGAGACAGAGAGTGCTGGCTTTCGGATCCAGTGTTTGTATGGACCCATGCATGGTTTTCCTTCACAGCATAGCAACACATCTGTCGGTAGTGACTGGCCTGGGTCCTCCCGATCAGGGACCCACTTCTGGTACAGAAAAGTCACACCTAAGTGTGCGACATGAGGGGCCCACCCACCACCTCCTATACTTCACCATAGGCAGAGTGGATCCAAAAGTTGGTGTGTTTTGTTAGATCCTGCCTTCTGACGACTTCTGACATCATCGTTTTCAAGCCCTTACAGTCCGGTTAAACCAAACAGCATTGATAGTGGTTCACCTTCTATACTATAGACTGATCCAACTCCCTAACTTACCTCTGGGTGCAAAGACTGCAATAGAACTGTTCCCTCCACATGTAGTGTTACCACAAGACTGTGTACAGAGGAGCTCACTCGTTGAGCCGAGGTGATCATAGTTGTGTAGGCAGGCACATGATATGCGATTGCCAGCATCTATGAAGGATCCTGACAGGTATAAGCCCATAGCACTGCAGCTTGCTATGCAAGATTGGATTGTTCCGGACGTCGGCGTAGTCGTCAACTCAAAATCAGCTGATACATTTGCAGCATAGCATCCAAACCGTACTGCATAACAATAGAAAGACAGACACATTGACGTGACAATGGAACGTAACACAGGTGGAATGTCAGTAGTTTAAAAAGTGCTAATGACGACTGCATGACTGAAAACTAAAACGGATTTAAGACCCATTCCCTCAGGCACGTTCTCAAGGCATAGGCTACCAAGTGTTCAGATTTCCCTCATCCACGTTCCAAGGCACGGGATTAGTTACAAATGGAAACCATGAACATAGTATTATAGGTTAGAGAGTGATGCATTCTGATTTACTAACCTAGTCGTGTCTCACTTACACGCATGTGCATGCAGACACTCACACGTCGCTTGCTAGCATTTCACTGCTTGCCAATGTCACAGGCTGCTACCAATGACTGCATGCTGTATCAACTTTTCCTTGCCCATTCATGTCCTACTCTCATGCAGTCCATCATCGCCGTAGTGTTTTAGTACAGTGCACTGATCAAGAAACATACATGTCAGCTTGTGCTCGAAACAGAAAGCACTTCATACCATTATAACAAATGGTACCTCCAAGTGATACATTTACTCTCGACTAGTATATAAGCAGCAACCCGATATGTGTCACTTACTGACAGTGAACTCTTGACAAGCTCTTCCAGCCCAATGCGTTCGGCACTGACACTGTCCACCACGCAGCATACACGGAGCACTGGAGTCGGGACGATACGCGTAGGCGTCTACTTGATCGTTGCAAGCACACGTCTGGTTACAGTCCAAGCCCCAGGTTGTGTTGCCACATGCTAAACAACACGTCAGATTTTGTTCAAAACAAAAGAAGAAAAAACATGGCAAATTATCGTTGACCCGTTGCAGTCACGTATCATCTTCATTATTGTGAGTGACAGGCATACGAGGGCTGAGTTGGGAAGTGGAGTGTGTCATGACAGGCCAACTCGCCCATAAACTAAACAGCCTATAACACAATGCACTCTGGAGACAGTCCTACAGGCACAGCAAGTTGGACAAGACCTACAATAGGAGAAGTGACCTCACCGCAATCAGGTATAAGGCGATTGACGACGGTAATAAGCCGACCACCAGACGTGATGGTGTTTTGCACGGTCTGTGAGCGTGTGTTAGCAGCATCATTCAGGCAACTTCCATTCAAGTAATTGCCATAGCTTGTTCTATCGGACAGCACCAAAACACCATTATGCACAGTTACCTGAGTGACAAAATAACTCATAAAGGTCAATGTCTGTGACAGCAGCACCATGCCAGCTGAAAAGGACAGCGGAAAAGGAGTGCGATAGACAAACGTCCTGGAACAAACGCTGACAGTATCAATAGAGGAGAGCATTCACTGGATAATTGTAACTGACAAAGCACGATCAGATGCTCGAGCTAGCCCCGGCATAACATTGGCACATTTTCACTCACAAAGCGACTGTTCAGTACATGGGGTAGTGGTCTACCAGAGCAATCACACTCACCACCGTGGTGGTTTTCCAGAAATGAGTAGAAGCAAAAAACCACACTCGCAGCCACAGAACAGATAAATAGCCGAAAAACATCTAAATACATCAAAGAACCGCCAGCAAGCGGGAGAAAAGGCCGTGAAATCAAGTGAAACAGCATGGCCAGTGGTGAGCATGGGTGACTGGGCAGCAGGGGAGCGCCTGAAAAACAATGACTCCCTACATTCCTAGCCGCGACCGCTCAACCGGGCTAGAGGAAAAACACGCCTTTCGGCCAAAAAACCTTTCTATTTTCATTAATTCCTGCCCCGCTGCCAGTCAGACCCAAGAATAGAGATAGCAAGGAATGGTATGTAATAACCGGTGTATGTCATAATCATAAGCCACACACATAGGCATAGATTGTCAAGAAGAACAGCGGACGACTCCCATGAGACCAGGGTGGGTGGGCGGGCAACTTCAACTACCACGAGGAAAAACAAAGACCACGATGGCAGGTTCAACGGAGTTGCGCAGAACAAGAGCAAATGCACGAAAATATTTGTGAGTGAAAAATACGTTTTTTGCACTCTTTCGCTACGCTCAGCCGTGAAAAAACAAAACTATTATACGATAACTTACAAGCATACAGTACTCCCGCATAGGTAACAAAATGTACCGATGCACTTTGATGTTGCTACAGTCCTGGGTAGCTCAGATTTATTTGCAATTCAATGACCGATAGTTAGTACAGTGCAATGAGATCTCTGTAACAACAGACCAACTTCATAGGAAACAACTTCGAACAAGGTTCAAACCGTTGGACTCTTGTTATCACCCTCTTTGAAAAGAGGGCGACTCGCATGCCGCTAGTGTCTTACATTATAATGTCAGAAGAGGTTTTAGAAAAAAGGCTCTGGAACAAGGTGGTGTCATACGTGATGTTGTTGTAGCTGAAGTCACTGGAGAGTAGATGTACACAAGACAACAGAACAACAGAGAAAAGTGAAGTATATCATACAAGTTAGCAGTTATTTGGGAACTTGTGGCCTGGCACGAGGGTACCATGGATGCAGCTAATGGGATATCGGTCTTTGACCACTTGGTGGTGGGTCTGATCTACTCACCTCCCACCGTTTAGGCGCTGCATCTGCGCCTTTGATCCTAGAGGGTGGTGGTGTTCCCACGACGGATGCGGAAAACTGGGCTTCCAGCCGAGTCTCACGCGAGCCGTGAAATTTATTTATTTTATTTTTAGCATGGTAAAAAGCCATGCATAGTAGATAGTAGTGAGTCAGTGACCGATGCAATCCTCCGTAACACAAGTACTAATACGTTCAAAGAAACAAGCTATTAAAGTTCAAAAACAGAAAGTCTGTAAAGCTCTGCACATACAATTCGTTAATGTTTGAGTCCGCTGCAATGACATTCCTCAGAGTTTGAAGGTGATTTCCTTTCAGGTTTCTGCAGAGAGCAAGAGAAAGACATACATGTGCCTCCATTTTCAAACAAATCCGAAAAAAGGAAATAATAGGCAATGGGTTTAAGCACGTGGACCAAGTCGTTTGCACACAAAAGTCGGCACGCGACGGTCACTGCAACACTGCCTAGTGCACAGTGAACGGAGAGCCATTGACATTGCCATACGATTAGGATCTATGCACAGCAAATGGTTGCAACATGCTTGTTTGATATAGTAATATCGGGTGCTTGTGTAGGTCCAGGCTAGAAAGCAACCGGAATTTTTAACCCTTTAAGAGCCGCCCCATACTTGAATGCGTCGTAAACGACGCATTCAAATGCAAAACTTCAAAAGATCGTAACTCAGTCCAATCTCGCTCAAATCCAGTGATCGAAATATCCAGGGCGAAGAGAAAACTCTCACCTGTCAGGAGAAACAATCCGCGAAGCGCTGCGAGCAACGGTTCCTGAGATAAATCACTCGTAAGTTGAGCCGCGATCGCGGCAATTTCAAAAGCGCGTAGTGCGACTTTAGTATTGAGAATTTTGAGACTTTTCGTCACGCTGGTTTACTCGATTTTGCACGGGTTTCACTGTTGATATTGTCAAGAGTACACAGCGAAAAAATTGGAACTCCACGATCGAGCAAAATGAAATATCTGGAGCGGGACGCAATTGGACGCATTTGGGGCATTTTTCGTGCTGTCGCTGCGATCTAGCGCTGGATAGACGGTGTGCTGGCTATCATGATCAACCTCATTCTCTTTCTCTCGCGGAGACCTTTCCAGGAAGCCCTAGATTGTGAGGATTGAGTGAGTAGAACTGAAGCTATGATCCAAGGAACACGAAAAAATGCAGAATTTTGAAAATTTCCTGTGGCTCTTAACCCTTTGTATACGGACTGTAGAACTTTCGATCCCCTGGGATCGAAACTTTTCAAAATTTCAATCGATCGTAACTCAGTCGTTCCTGGGTTATATCCGAAAACTAAAATATGTAGGTCAAAGAGAAAACTCCCAGCTGTCCAGTGAAACAATCACTGAAGCGCTCCAATGTGTGGTTCCAGAGTTACAAAGCTCGAAAGTCGAATCGCGGCAAATGTCGCTCAATAGCCGCTCACGCAAATTTGAATGAGGGATTTCCCCATCATTCTGGGCATGCAGTGACGTAGAAACACGTTCAAAATGGTGAACGGACTCATGGCAGTTTGTGAATTTTTTTGAAGTAACAGTTAGTTGTTACGAGCAAGGAGAGCGAAATGGCTGATGCAAGAAGACTTCTGTCGGAATATTGGTGTTGCAGCTAAGACGCTAGGCTGTAGCGCTGGCGTTTTGACATTCGTGGTGGCAAGCGTGGGCTCAATGTGTTCCTCTTGCAGCGAGCTTTCCAGGAAGCCCAAGATTGAAAAAGTCGTCAAAAGGAGACTAAAGTTATGACCCAGATAGTTATAGAATTTGAGGTGAGTCAAGATCAAATTCAGTCTGTGTACATTTTTTCAGTACATAAAGGGTTAAATTCACGTAATACTTCATGGCCAGTGTACATGCATTGCGTAACCCAAAAGAACACAATAAGACCGAAGAGGTTGATCACGAGAATGGGAACACAGTAAGCCTAAAGCGGACATCCCCACCCGTTCCTCAGCAGCCAAGGTTACTGAAGTCTTCGGTAACCAATATCATCCGTTGCAAATACATGCGCACTAAAACATGATACAGTAGCAGTGTAGAACAACGTACAATGCAGCACATTCCCCTGCACATTGCTTGTCTTCACTGAACTTACAGTGTATCGATGAAAGGGTTAAAGGCAAGCACCGATGCAAAGTTGAATGTGGGGTCGACAAGCTGATTGTACGACAGATCTCTGGAAAACAGCAAGCATAGGGCACACAGGACAGGGTTTACACCTGCTTATACGGACAAAGCAAAGACATCCTGATGGTGCTGTCCCACACCTTGCCATTGACTTCAATACACAAACCGCGATGCCTACAAAAAGTACGATGGTCACTACCTTTTTCATGAAACAATCCCATGATATCGTTCTTGTTGGCAGAGTGAAAGAGTACATGCACTGTGTAAGACGTGCCCGGTGCGAGTGTAATGAACATACATATTACTCACCAGATGTGCTTTTTCTGCTGGCGGTAGAGATCAGAGCTCATTTTCTACAGTGCATACCATAAGCTTCAGCCATTGAACTACTATCCGTGCAAATATAATCAGAACTACTAGTTTTCAATAACCAATGTCGGACTTGCCGTAATACAAGTGCCGTGAGATTCTGGAAGTTAGTCTCATCACTATTGCGTGGACCCTTGGCAGGTGAAACAAGCACGGCAGTAATTCCCGCTGGGGTTGACAGTGAAGAGCAAAGAAAGCATGCACATTTCCCCAACCCCTAATCAACTGCTATACAGATATATCATGGTCCCAGGGTCCCTGTTGTGCAGCAGCTTGGCAGTGGAAACAGAACTGCAATGTACGGTTGTGCACTTACAATGTCCAGAGCTGTGTGTAAAGAGAGAGCTGTCTCAGATCAGAGAATGACTTGATCAAGTTGTGACTCAGATACCTGAAAGCAGCAACAAAGAATTGGTAACATGTTACCATGCAGAATGCAAACTCAGGTTAGCACAGAAACACAACACCATGTGAGGCCCCTGTGGATGCCGGCAAAGCTCGTGACAGGGAAAGGTTGGCCTGCCTCGCACCAAGTCCGTCATGGTAGTATCCTAACCGTAACAAATGACATTGTACTGACTACACAACACCACACACAGAAAAAGCTAACGACTCGTGTGATTTCATTCTTGAACTAATGCCCGAGTTGCAGACGGTCCGACCACATTAGATACTGTACACATTCCGGACTACCTACTATCATGCTAAGTGAAATCCAGAGTCAATAAGCTAGCACGCAGCACAGCACCTGGCGCAAGTTGGATCACCACATGCAAATGTCACTGGTCAATGCTATAACAAAACAGACGTGCTACTGACAAAACAAACGTGTTTACTGACAAAACAAACGTGTTACTGACAAAACAAACGTGTTACTGACAAAACAAACGTGTTACTGACAAAACAAACGAGTTACTGACAAAACTACTGCTAACTTACAGTGATGTTAAACCTGGCATCGCCGAGCTGGAAGTGGTCAAGCCGAAGGAGGTAAACATGTTGTATGACACATTCCTATGGAATAAGACAACACAATCAGTGTATCAAATCCCAGTTTGAAGAAGTCAAAAGCTAGCTCATATGTACCGTATTTTTCGGAGTATAGTGCGCACCTTTGTATAACGCGCACCCCCAATCTTCGTTGGGGGTGCGCACTTCAATCTTCATTGAAGTACATGCATTTCATATTCGGAGCATAGTGCGCACCTGCGATTTAGGGCCTAAAATAGCACATTTAAAGTGCGCACTATACTCCGAAAAATACGGTAGCATCATTTTCGTGACGGAGTTCATAAAATAGAGCGCATGTATCAGAATTGCTCCATGTTATGTAACTGCACAAACTTATCCTCCCTACAGTAGTGATTTGCATGTTGTGTCGACTGGAGTATGAGTATGAGTGTGAGTATGAGTATGAGTGAGTCAGCCCTGAACGCATTGTGGTGATGTGCCAGTTGTGAGCTAACGGGCAAGTATCCCGTTTTTGACTATACGAAGAGTTGAGCAGGAAATACCTCTTGCCACCCAAGAGCTCCACCACACATACATGTATGTCTTTTCGAACTGAGGAGTGAGGGGTCGTTGTATGATCACAACGAAAAAGAACAGAGAAGCAAAATGCTCCGTTCTAGCAGAATGCCTGCCAGGTCTTTGCCACAGGAGCATAACACCCTCAATACGCCCCTGCTGAGGCATTGAGACTATTCTGGCAGCTGTTAGCACCTTCACAAAGTCCTTACAATGTTATCAAAGTAGTTGTGTTCAGGTTTATGTCGCTCCAATTTGATAGCCTATTGCGACTGATGTCACTGAAATAACAGACAAAAAATAGGTCAAATGTTAGAAAGACACATAGAGGTTATGCGACTACATCATCAACTGAGATGCTTTGGCAAAGGCGTAGCACAGCGCTGCACCAAGTCTTGCACTATCGACTCACACTGCATGCACAGTGCCCATTAGAAAATCAACTGACTCACGATGCATACTTAGCGGGTATTAGCATCTTCAGAAAGAAAAGATCTTAATTGGGTATCTTAGGATACTCACAGGTAGTTCAGTGTCAGGTCCTTCAAGCTATCTCTCATGCTGGATATTCTATTCCCGGCCAGTGAACTGCAGAGTAAACACAAGACAAGGAGGCAAGGCACAAGCAGGTGTGATATAATAACACCATATTGCAAGGAGTTACCACGATTCATATCTTAGCTGGTCAATACAGAACAGAAGAAAATAGAGTGACAGACAAACAAGTGCATATAAAACAGAAGCTGGGATCTTACAGCTTATTAACATTCCGGACAGCCTGGAATGTGGCCGAGGTCGGGGATGAAATTCTGTTGTCATCCAAATATCTGTTGAGGCAAAAGAAGAGGCATGAAACAACAGTAATGGATGATATTGTACCTTAACTCTGACATACAAACGGACAGTCACATGCAAGAACAGAGAGTACACTACAGCTCTAGCCCAGTTTTCCGAATACATCCATCATCGAGACGTGTGAGTCGCTTTCTGGGTACATTGCACTTTGTTTGTCTTATCTGTCTTGTCGAATTTGCACACGTATGCAGTCGTACATACTCGCACACACAGACACAATATCAAGTTGCAGACACTTCACATGATCACAATCAATGGAAGACAAAAAGTCGAGGCAACTCATGCCCTGCGAAATTCAGAGCACATAATGCAGATAACAACATGCTGGCAAAACGTAAATCATAATAATATATTGGTACACATAATAGTATATTGGTACACTTGTGTGAAGACACATACAGGGTAGTGGTTCCTCTACCAGGGGGCAGGAATGTCTCCCGTGTTGGCAGTCGATTGATTCGGTTGCTTCGAGCGCTCCTGGTTGATTGTACACACACAATAAATCACAAATGCTCGAGCTATGGTGTAGCCGTCATCCAACAGCCCTTATGTAATGCCATGTATCCGTGACAAGTATGAACACTCCCCCCCCCCCCCACACACACACACTCACCTCCCCCCCCCCCCCCCCTCCCCCCCCCCAAACACACAGCCACACACACACCACCACCCCCCCCCCCCCCCACCCCCCCCCCACACACACACCACCCCCACAACTACCACTAAAAAGCACACACACACATTCCCCAGTACCAATATCTATAGGATAACTCATGGCAATACTGATGATACTGAAGCCGGACTCTTTTTCCTTCAGGTAGTATACTTACAAATAGGACAGATGGCTGCCATTGAACATGAAATCAGACAGGAACGTCAGTGCGTTGTTATCCAGCTCACTGCCATAGACAGAGCACAGAAAGGCAACACCCGCAAGCATTGGGCTCGGTCTGTCAGACCTCTCAGACCTCTGCTTCGCTATGGGTGGAAATCACAGCCCTGGCTTGCACTATAGTACTCGTATTGCATGCTCAACACGACATTCTACAGCACGCACAATAGTTCTCACATGAAGATATGTGTTGACAGCACCAAAAGCATCCCCTGCATGCCCACTGCCTCGGTTCAATACCAGTACTGGTACTACAGTACTGGTACTACACACCATTCATGCAGTCAGCAGGGGCGTAGCTGCCTCTCCCCCCTTCAGGGGGGGGGGGGGGGGGGGGGGGTGCAGTGCCGCATACATGTACACATGTAGGATGGCTAGTGCATGTCATTCACGGTTTCATGGTCACTATGTACATGCTGAACCTACATGTAGGTCAAAACATTTACTGGGGTTAGCGAGGTCAGACGCGTGACCAGTTCACGGACTTCGCTTGTCGCGCTTGGACCATCCCCGGCCCATTGAAAATCGATGATGTCATGGCACATAGGTTTTTACTCGATTTTTCGATTTTTACGGGAGGCATCAAAACTGACCTGCGTTTGAACTTCGCTTGTGCAGTCTCCTTGCTCTTTTTGGGCGATTTCAAGTTTCTAGTCCTTTGGTAAGGATATGGAGCAATGCCTCCACCCGTTCGCGCGGCGTCCAGACGTTTCTCTGTCGACGCGCTGTCTCTCGCTTTTTGCCAATATTCGAGGGCGGGTTTCGGTCCTTGCGCCTCTTGTTACGCCTTAGGTTGTTGCTGCATCGTGTTCAGCGCCCCCTAATCCTTCGGACTACCAAGTTTCATTGGCGTAACAAGAGGCGCACCGACGTTATGGCTCCCGACTGGTGTCACTGTCCAGCAAGGAGGATTGCTTTGGGAAGGCATGTGCACCAATCTAAAAAGCAACAGAAGCAAGCCAATCGCCATCAATCCGATTAAACTTCGCTTGCGTCTGGTGTGCAGCATTTTGTATCTATTCAGAAGCTTGTTGGTGATGAAGGTAAGGAGATGGCTACTTCAGTCCCGGTCCCAGGTACTGTTTCGGAAAGCTATGTCTTTCTTACAAAGTTTTGTCCAATTGTATGCATCATTTCAGAAATGGAAACTATTTCCAAATTTCCAATGCTGTCAGTGTTACTCAATCAAGGCAACACTACAAATAGTTGTCAGCCAAACATAACCTGTGTGAGAGAGAAAGTGAGGAACGTTCACTTTCACACAGACCATGTCTCTAACAAAGTCTCTCTACTGTACTACTCCAGAACAAACAATACGTTCGAGCACAATTGTGTTTTCAAATTCCTGATCGTCTGCAGAAACTTGTCTTGAGAAAGCGCTTCTTCCGACATCATCCATCAACAGCAGCCACCGCTCCCGTTGCCACCAACTCGTCATTGGATCCCAAATATCTTACCATCACCGGTTCACAGCAAATAGTACATGCACTGGCGATCCTTGAAGACAATTGCACATTTCCCTTCTCTGCAGCTAGGAACAAACATTTTCTCTTCAGAAAGTAATAGTTTTCGGCTCGAGTGCTGCATGCACGCAGCGGTGCCGCTAGCCGCTAGCATAGCGAAGTACACGCACGTGACACGCAAGATTACATCATGCACTCTCCGTCGCGACTTGGGACCCGAGTGCCGGGTGCCATTTTTCGAGCTCCCACGCGTACATTCGTCGCGACAAAAAAATCACGTAGTCGGGCTCCTTTCAACACCCATAACTCTCTTCCAGTTGATCTAACCCAGCCCAAATTTTAGATTTGAACGCCTGAAGCTCTAAGCTTTCCGTAGATACCCAATTCGATAGGGTTTTCCAAAATTTAATTTTCGCCTGACCTCGCTACTGGGGTGCACATGCCCCCCCCCCCCCATGCCATAGTCCGAACGGAGCAAAGAACTCACATGTGATTCACATGAGATAGTACAAAGGTACTGTTCTCCAATTCTTCCGAGGACAGTCTGTTGTGAGACAAATACCTGTAATTAACAACATTTCCGCACAACAAAATCAAAAAGTTAAACCTCGGCGGATCACTAAATTTCGTAATTGACAACAACTATCGGACAAAAATGATCAACAATGGAAACTGTGGTTATAACCTGGGAATCACACTAGTGTTGACCCCCTGCATTACATTGGAAGGTGACTGGCCATAACGGACAGTATTTAGATGATACTGGACACGCCTCACTAACTGCGAATCAGGACAATTGTCAAAACAATACAGGCACAACAGACACACACAAAAACATGCAAGTAACATGTTGCACGACGACAGGTTGATGCTGGGGTATTCACACAGAGCACTTACACCTTCTTAATCCGTTCACTGGCAAAGACTCTCTTTCCCAGCCTGGATATCTGGTTACTGCTCAAGTCACTGCAAGCAACAGCATACAAACGACCAGAATGAATCATAGAATGGAAGAGGAGGGGGAGGAGGGGAGGACGTCCAAGTCGCTCAGAGAACAATGCAATGAAAAATGACTATTCCATCTACTTCAAGTACCATCCTTCAAAACCTCAAAATCTTGATGCCTTTTCTCCATGAGCACAGCTAGAAAATACACTTTTAAAATAGATGGGCAAGTTAGCACGTCCAGGTGTGCCTCTGGAATTCTGTGAACGTCTTCTTGCATAATTGTAGTAGCATAAAACAGTGGCTGTGTGGTGATAGAAGCTTACACACTCAGTACGTAGACGGAGGCACTTCCCATCAGGATATCGTCAAACAAGCCATCGTCAAGTCGAGTCAGGTTGTTTTGATTCAAATTGCTGCACAGAAAACAGGGACACGCAAGTGCAAAAGCAGGGGGTGACACTGCTGATCGAGCAAGTGCAGCTTTAGCTGAGTTAACCAGCCATGTTTCAATGGTTAAAACGGAGATAATAGGGACACAGAAAGTGCTATGGCCTACATGATGATGCGCACAAGCACATTGTAGAATATGGTTGTCAGATTACTAAAAGTACTGTTAGGTACCTCCTCCCGTACGTTCTACAACCTTTTCCAAGCTGGCCTGCATTCACCTCATACTACGTCGTACTCACCTTTTCTCTCCTTTTGTCACCTTTTGTTCCGTTGGCCTGGGTAGCTACTTGCGCGCCCATATTTGCCATAGCTACCCAGGCCCTTTATCTTGCTGCCCTAACTCGATCTCTCTCTCTCTCTCTCTCTCTGTCTCTCTCTCTCTCTCTTCCACAATGTAGTTGTTTCGTTCGTCTTTGTCTCCGTCTCTTCGTCTATCATAAATGTCTTCCCCACTACCTGTTCCCGTTGTCCGTTGTGTCTGGGGAGTATGATTCCTTTTCGTACTCAACAGTACTAAAAGGTCATTGATGACATATGGTGGCATTGATATCATTGCAACAACCCCATCTAAATGTGGGTGGTGAGACCAAACAAGTCGCGAAGTATTAGCTAGGAAACCACCACCCAATCACTCCGTACCTTTATCGTAAAACCCTAGTCTGAACTGGAACATGTTAACAAGCGGGAAGCGCAGCACACAGCACACAGCACACAGCACAGTTATAGTAGACGAGACTCACATGATGTAGGTGCTTCTTAGGCCAGTGAAAGTACCTTGCTTCAGCTGAGTAATACCACAGTTTGTCAATGTTCTTCAGAGGACAACACACAGAGAAAGAGCATAGCGAGTATAAAATCCATGCGTTTGGCCAACTAAGGGAACATAGCACGAGTTTCTGTTACATTTCTATCACTGGAAACACGGTTTTCCAGGTAGACATTGTAAAATTCTCACAGAATGGATGCACAGCCACAAACGCGGTCACAACTTCACATCATGTAAGGGAACTACAGAGAACGCTGCACACCATTCGACTTACAGTGAGATCAGATTGGATAGGCTTCTGAAGGTGTATGGCAACAAGTTACCACCGATTCTGTTTCCACTCATTGACCTAGAGACAAAACATAGAACGATCTCAAGCTGGAGACAGACAAGAAACACTTTGCACAGAGTGACAAGTATGGCTTGCAAAGGGCGGCGTAGCAAAACAATCACGGTGATCACCAATGGTCTCTTATTGGCGATGGTGCCATCGTGAGAATAAAGAATTTCAAATGGTTCTTAAGTCTTCACTTTGCTAGTTGATAGAATGCCAACCAGTTATACACAGCGAGTCAGCTGTATTCGTGTCCATGGTTTGATTGCATACACAAGGACACACACACAGACACACACACATACATGTACTCCAGCAGAGCTGCACACAAGCATGATGGAGAATAACGCTAAATCTCCAGCTAAGAGTTTCATGGCTATACCGATTTGTCAAGTGGCAAACAAACACTCTAGGACAACACCCTTAGACCATAATTATTAGAGCACCATTCTTTCTGCTTCGCTGTAACTACTTCCTTTGCAGAAGTAGTCTCGTGCCATTGGGCAAACAAACTTCAGACAACTAATCTAGCAATATTTTGATCAGTACTGTAATACAGCCCAAATTCTGTGTGAAGAAAGATGTGACATCAGTCCACGCATACACATGTACATGTATACGAGCGCTCGTACATAAACATTTCCTTGACTAACATGGGGATACAGTGCATACATACACATTGCCTGGACTATCATGGGAGTACCTACAGTGTGTAGAGACTGGTCAGATTCACAAACGCGTTGACATCAATACTGCTGATGTGGTTGTTGTCCAGTGCCCTTCACATGTACACGACAATACAGCACAGAAATGTAGCACACAGGACACCGCATGGGGCATCGCTGGTCCCCTTTTTAGGGAGGCAGGGGGGGGGGGGGGGGGGAGCGTGCACGACCGCATATGTGTAGGATAGCTGGTGCATGTCATTCATGGTCAACATGTGCATGCTGAACGTAGGTCAAAGTTTTTAGGGAGGGGGGTGCACGGTACCCCCCCCCCCCCCCTCCCCGTGCTCCATGCGGGCTACATGCCTGACACCAATGTGGCATATAGCGTCGAGCTTCTATTTCTTAGTACAATGCTGTCTCAAATGAGTGAAAGCTTGTTCCTGCTAAGTGAATACTCTCTAGTCCACCCACAGTCCCTACATAGGAAACTTTATAAAAGACTTTGAATTCACTACAATTCATTATCAGACAATTTCAATCACCATTCTTGTTGTCGAATGGATACAGAAGATGAGGTTCTCTTTGAAAGTTTACAAAAATCTTACAAGTTATACAAGGTACTCCCCGCAGCACCAAAAGTCCCAGGTGTCAGCATAGTTAAGTTGTTATCTTCCAGAATTCTGCATAGAACGTTAACATCAGATACAACAAACAGGAAAGGAACATCAAGAGGTCACCATGACTGGGACGAGGCCTTCAAAGTGATAGACTGGCAGTTTTGTGCACTTATAGCCGTTCTGTGTGTTCCCTCACCTTTCAGCATCAACAATGGGATACAAACCAGCACATATGTCACTATACTTTCCACTTACAACCTCAAGTAATCTCCAAGAGCAGAAAAGCTACCATCCTCTATTGATGAAATGCCACAGCCTTTCATATTCCTGAAAAAAAGAGACAGATGTCGAGAGAGAAAAAGGACATCAACGCCCAGGTCAAGGCAGCTACTGCAGGCTGCAGCAAGGGAATACATGGATAATGTCATTGCAGCTGCTTCACTTGGTGTGCTGCTCGCAACTTCATTTCATAGGAATGCTGGCATACAACACAAGCACAAGGTGACCTACACCTTGCTAAGTCGGGAGTTATTAGAGAACAATCTTGATGGAACCGATCCCAGTGGGTTTGAGCCTAGATCCCTGCAGAACACAGAAGCAAAAATGGAAGAAAAAGAGGTGTATGCCATGCAAAAAAGGAGCCACTTGTCACATCTACTTCCTCTGGAAACAAAAACTTCGTGACCGTGAGCCACCTCTCAATTCTGGTAAATGTCTTCCACAGCCCCAGCACCAGGCACAAAAACGTTAAGTCCAACAAGAGATCAGAATCCTTCACGGTTCAACGAAGAGATCAAGAAGCAAAGCAAACAAGACTACCAGAGCAGCATATACAGTCCGACCTCGCATAACCGCACACATCCGTTTTCCACAAAAATATCCAGATAGATGAGGGAACCGGATAATAGAACACAAATACTGTATGTATGTATGCATTGCATGTGCTGTAAATCGGTAACCAACGATTTTCTTCCGGATGGCGAGGGATCCGGATAAAGGAGGATCGGATAAGCGTGGTCTGACTGTACCACACATGGGTAGCTTAATTAAGCAGCATACGTGTGCTCGGTTACAACTCCTCTCAGGTGTCCACACAGCAAATTGGGGGAATAAAATAGTAACACTTTACTCAGGGTCTGCACTGACCATAGCAGTTCCTTTTGGCAAGAATCGCAAGATAGTTCTTTTTCCACAGATTTCTTTTCATAAGTTTAAAAAAAGAGAAAGGGCCAATAAGTTACTAGTTATGACAAACAGTCCACCAACGTAACGCGTAACGAGAAAATATACAGTCAGATAGTGCTACAACAAGGCACAAAACTGACAAGGATATTGAGACATTTCTTTCTCTCTGTCTCCTTTTCCAAGTAGTTTACCCTGGGTCGGTTACTTGGATATCAAGCGCTTCCTTTTCATTGGATCTGTTCAGTCTGGTCAGCTTGCGAATTCAAATATACACAACCAGTACCTCATGGAGGCCCTATATTATTCATACACAGCACAGAATAAGAAAAGGAGCATGCATTCGTAGTAATGTGCAAACCTAGATACCGTAATTATGTTCTTGCACTACATACAAAATGTTTTCAACTCACAGTTGTAACAGAGAAGCCGGAAACAACTTTGAAGAATTCAGAGCTGGACCAGTAAGGCGGTTTCCAGCCAGGCTTCTGAAAATCAAACAAGAAACCAAAGGCAAGAACGCCATCGTGAAGTCACGTGAGGTCTGTATGCTCCCTGTAATTGTTTTCAGAAAGACACGTACACCATTACTTGATTCAACCTTTCGTGCATGTTCTGGTTTCAACTGAATTCGCTCCTACACGCATTTACAAGTTCACCACTTCATGACATTATCGACTCTCCTTTTGACAATAGTTTTAAAGCCAGGCATGAGATCACACCGCCGCAGAAAACTAATTGGCAACAGCTTCACAACGCCGACATCACTCAAGATCCATAACTAGACCTGGCTACACTCACAGAATGAAGAGGTTGGTGCGATCAAAAGCACCTTCCTCAATCCGAGAAATATGATTGTTTTGAATCGAGCTACGAGAGCACCACAGAGAGAAACATGACAGAGTTATAAGAAGTCAAGGATGGTATGATGTAAGCGGGGAAATCACACGGCAACATACACATACAAGTAGTGTGCTGATGAATGAGGAATGATCTCCAATTGCTGTGCACCAGAACTATGCACCAAACAACCGATACTTTGGTTCACCATGCTACTTAATAAACACAGGGACACCAAAAACACCCATTGCCCCCAAATGGGATCACCCTTCGCAAAATACACATCCTGCGCTGCCATTGAGCTGTACAGTCCAGAGAGATCCGACTACTGCATATACCATTCGGCAGTACACGATAGTTGAGCATTCAAGCAGTAGTGGCACTTTCTCAATGAGCCGCTCAACAGACTCAGCTTCAACAACACATTACGCAAAACACTGCATGCAGCTCAGTGATTCGAGAACAGTGGGGGGGGGGGGGGTAACTCTATGGATATCTATCGAGATGGATCTGTCATTGCTACCGACTCTGGATTACATCATAGTTCTAAACATTGTATGGCAGCTACTCACAGGTCGAATAGAAACTGCAGGTGCGCAAAGTCAGCAACAGTCAGATTGACAATGGCATTTCCGTCCAGTGATCTGGAAGTCACAACAAGGATGTACACATCAGATGCATCAACAATTCGGTTTCGAGTTGCAAATATCAGTAGTCTCGGGCGCGTCAACTGCACCCTTGAGGTATAATTATTATGCATAGCGGAATTTTGTAGGAACGTTTTTCACCAAGACATCAGAACGAATCAGGTAAGCAAAGGTTTGGTGTTTTAGGAATGGTAAAGGTGGAATTTCCACAACAGGCAAGTCTCACTTTGATATTCACCTGTGGAAGCTCAAGATACAATTGTGGAATAGTTTCAAACGCGTTTGCTCTTGCAGACTGTGTGAGCGCACTGGCAAGGGTGACGCACAACGTAGAATGTGATACGAAAGTAACCGCAGGCTAGTCTAGTGTACGTACAATGATGATGTGAACGGACTAATCAGCGGTGGCAGTGTTGTCAGGCCTTGGTTGTGGCATACCGTCCGGATCAAGTGGTTGCCTGCAGCCGAACAGTTACAGTCTTTAGGACACTCTGCATGAAAACAAGAAAGTGAAGTGCATGATGGGGTTAGGCACAATGGTCCCAAGCACTGCGTGCGTATCAGGAGATAGGATTATCAACAGACTACACACGTACAAACAAACATAGTTGGTGACCAAGGGAGCCACTATTTCATCTCCAACTTAGGCAAAGGTCATCACATACGACGTGCACGACCATGTTCAGTGGGCAGACTCTGTGCTTTTCTGAAGAACTGATTTCAAGTATTCATGGCAATCACCAGACGTACCTAACTTGACTAAACACCTTGCACTACCAGCAAGCATTGCCCTGGTACACTGATAGCTCACCTGTGCGTAGGTTGAGGCTGCAGTTGAGCAGAGCATAGTCCTGAATGCACTGGCAAATGCCGTATATCGGCGTGCACCTGACAGTGGTGTTGACTTGACACTCGCACGGCATGCCGCACTCCAGTCCGTATGTGAACAATCCTTGACTGTTGAACGAGCATGCTAAACAAACGATGAACAAACGCAATAGAAGATGTCCAGCCATGCAGGTCTAAACAGCACAAGCTATAGATACCCAGCAGTGTGTGCCACATTGATTTTTATCAGATTGCATTCTTGCCCTAAGTCGATGCGGGAACTTATCTTCAAAGTAGATGGTTCACTCACCGCATCCTGTAGTCGCATCTGGATTGGTGGCGTTTGTGTCGTTCTTCCAATTGAAGTCGTCGGCCAAGCTCTTCAGGCATGAACAGTTGAAATAGTTTCCATTGCAACTCCTAGAAACGAGGAAAGCAGGCAGTGGAGAGAGAGAGAGAGAGAGAGAGAGAGAGAGAGAGAGAGAGAGAGAGAGAGAGAGAGAGAGAGAGAGAGAGAGAGAGAGAGAGAGAGAGAGAGAGAGAGAGAGAGAGAGAGAGAGAGAGAGAGAGAGAGAGAGAGAGAGAGAAAGAGATAGAGATAGAGAGAGAGAGAGAGAGAGAGAGAGAGAGAGAGAGAGAGAGAGAGAGAGAGAGAGAGAGAGAGAGAGAGAGAGAGAGAGAGAGAGAGAGAGGGAGAGAGAGAGAGAGAGAGAGAGAGAGAGAGAGAGAGAGAGAGAGAGAGAGAGAGAGAGAGAGAGAGAGAGAGAGAGAGAGAGAGAGAGAGAGAAGAGAGAGAGAGAGAGAGAGAGAGAGAGAGAGAGAGAGAGAGAGAGAGAGGGAGAGAGAGAGGAGAGAGAGAGAGAGAGAGAGAGAGAGAGAGAGAGAGAGAGAGAGAGAGAGAGAGAGAGAGAGAGAGAGAGAGAGAGAGAGAGAGAGAGAGAGAGGAGAGAGAGAGAGAGAGAGAGAGAGAGAGAGAGAGAGAGAGAGAGAGAGAGAGAGAGAGAGAGAGAGAGAGAGACAGAGAGAGAGAGCATTGAGGAGCGTGACCTGCAGTCACTGTACATGTACTCAATGTGACCAGTGCATGAGTGCATGATACTTACAGGCCGGATGCATTCAGGCTCCGCGCTCCACGGATCAATGCAGGAAAGTTGAAGCTGCCAAGACGATTGTTGCTGATATCTCTGAGAATGGTTCAACACAAACATCAAGAAAACAAAACAAAAATCGCTGTCATATCACTAGGTGCAAACATGCGTATATAATGAGGTAGTGCAGTGAGAAAAGAACACAACCATTCATTCAGGTTTTGACAACGTCCACCCCAAACTTCTGTCACAACATGTAGGCGAGCATAATCACATACCACGCACATACGGTAGTATCCAATGGTCAGAATTAACTTCCCAACTCTTCATTGAAATGCTGCCTACACTCGCATGACTGTCAAATGAAGGACTTCCTCGCGGCCAGTTAGTACAACATACATGGCTCTGACTAGAGAGCACTTATAACTCAAGATATCCAAATATCACATTCACAGAAATCTTCCAAATTCGGAAATGCTTGCCTTCAAACAGCCAAAAGCATATTCTTACAATCTCTCCAAAGCAGGTGCTGTAGGCAGCATAAGATAGGCATTCGTCACATTGTTGTTCTGAACATATCTGCACCGGAGAACACAATAATAATTTTGGCAAATGTTGGGAAAGAGTGTTTTCCACAACACAGCATACGGGCTTTGTGAAATATGCTACTATGCCAGTAGCTCATCGAGACCGACACAAGCAGTAGAACTGTTTCACATCTATCACATGACCAAACAGGGCAGCCATGTTGGTTCCAACGCCACTCAACCCATACATCTGCGGGTCACATGACGTCGGCCATGTTGGTTCCACTGTGCACATGCCCTGATCACTATCTACACACATGACTGTAGTCACATGACAAAGATGCTCAGCTGAACCGCACGATAGCAAAAGCAGTCCTATGGTTCTTCTGTCACCAGTGGTGACTCTTCCTGGATTGTGAATGTGGAAATCACACCCGCACATAGTAGTAGTAGTACAGTAAAACCTGTCAAGGCGACCACCTGTCCTAGAAGACCACCTGTCCTAGAAGACCACCTGTCCTAGAAGACCACCTGTCCTAGAAGACCACCTGTCCTAGAAGACCACCTGTCCTAGAAGACCACCTGTCCTAGAAGACCACCTGTCCTAGAAGACCACCTGTCCTAGAAGACCACCTGTCCTAGAAGACCACTGAAACCAGGACCGAGGGATGCTACTTCCAGTCAAATGAACCTGGAAAAGGAGACCACCTGGTAACAGAGACCACGTTTTGAAGGTCCCATGAGCGGTCGTCTTAGACAGGTTCCACTGCAGTAGTATTTATTATTCCCGTAGCTATGCAGAAGACGTTACTTCAGTAACGTCTGGCGCTAGCCAGGGTCCACACAGCTTTAATTTGGTGTTTGTTTGTTTGTTTGTTTGTTTGTTTGTTTGTTTGTGTCACGCCTGGCGCTATCCCGTACCTGTCCCGTACCGTATCGCACAGCTGGCCATTTGCTGGCTCCCGTATCTATCCCGTACCGTACCGTACCATCAAACACAGCTGGCTACAAAGAGCTGGCCACAATATTATGTACATGTATACGACTCCCTGTGTGTTGCATATGTGCTTGAAGGGGACGGTTGCACTTTTTGTAGCTCCGTTTTATCTGAGTTTTCAGTCGTTCCTCTTACTAGTCTTGCCAAGGGGGTGGCTCTGGGTCCACCAGAGTTGCCCCTGGCGTATTTCTGAATTTGCTGGGGCGAGGGTTCCGCGACGCGGTCGCCAAGGCAGTGTCTTTTCAGTCACGATCGTTGTCGTCCTCGTCTCTCCATTCGCGGTGGTGTAGCTGACCCCCGAATGGTTTCAAACTGCGAAGCTCGGAGGAGTACAATGGTGGCAGAGGCATGAGCTGTGAGTGGAGACGGTTGCTGGAGATGGATGGTGATGCAGGGAGAAGAGTTACGCTGCCTGACGCCGGGTGGGAAATTGTTTGAACCTGCAATTTCAGTTCGAGCGCGGTGGACTTCTAGACGATATGTCCTCATGGCTGTTTTTCAACGCTTGGCCTATCGCTGGTATCCCTGCGTGGGATGTTCTTCCAGTGGAGTCCAGGTGTGGGACTTCGGGTGCCCACACTCCATCACCTGGTTGATTGTTTCGGAACTTCAAAAATTATTATTGTTTCCTATTTTGTGCGCATCTCTTGTCATCTCTCTTTTCTATACGTCGCACACCAGATGTACTACTATCGCCGTCTTTCTCTTGCTTTCTCTCCCTGCTTGCTGTTTTTTCTGTTTCTGTTGCCACTGTCCCTCATCATACCCATGCTTGGGTGGTGGGCGGCGTGACCCGTTAGGGTAGCTACCAATACAGTACGACTCCCTGATGTATAGAGAGACTTTCTGGAAAGAAATAGGGAGACGAGGAGGAAATGAAATTAGAATGGATGTTAGTTGCCGAATAGGTGATAGGATGCGTCAGTAAAAACATGCTTTGGAAGAGAGATCCCGTCGTCTCCAAAATAGGCGTGAACGGGCGAGTCAGCGCCGGTCACAGGAAACGTAGGCAGAGTGATCCCGTCGACTCCAGAACGCGCGTGCTCGGCAGAGTCAGCGCCTTCCCAGGAAACATTTCCATCAGTTCCCACAACATGCACGATGAGCTAAGTAACAAAGCATAGCGTAGGGCCCTGAGCTTCCAAGCTCTCTCGTTTTACTAGGGCAATGCCCACAGCACATGCAGCCCAGCACTCAACGATTTCTGTATTCACATTGGTTCATCTATTGCTAACAGCCACGGATCCTTTACTCCCTATGCTTTCCAACGCTCTGCATGAAATGACTGCAGTGAAGAAAGAAAAAACTTCATTGGCATGAGCTATTACACCTACAATTCTTTCAAGGCAGAACCTGAAGTTATGCTCAATGCTTCCAGTCGATTATTCGCCAGATTTCTACAGCAAAACAGATCACAACAGCAAGCGGAGAGAAACATAATCGAGCTTAAAGACAAGGTTCAGCATGCATCTATGAGACATCACCCAACATATGCTAGGAAATACCTTCGACAGACAAGGACCTACTCCATTGGACACGCACAAACGAACAGGCACCGCGATTCTCCCATCAACAGTGCCCTCACCCTCTACAATTCACTCCCTATCGACATCACAACCCAACACCGTAGAAATTCTATTTGAAACAATGCATCCAGTCTTCTTTTGAGCAGTACCTGTTCCTGCTCCGGGCACCCCCCCCTGGTTTCTGATATCTCGAACGTGCATTTAACTATCTAGATCACCCCTGCTATTGACCCCGCTTGTTTTTCACGATCCATTGCTTCTTGCCTCCCCGGGTAATTTCAATCTAGCTGTTTCTGGCTAGTATCAGTTCTATCACACTTATCAATCGTCCTTATTGGCGTCACGCCATCGTGGAATAAAAGAATAATAATAATAAATACATCGGGGCGAACGCCTCCACGGCATTTTGAGCACTTTTTGCATACTAAGTGAATCCCTCGTAATAGTCAAATGTGTTGCTGTTCCAAGGAAGGTGTTCTACAAAAAAATTAAACCTTGAAAGCCAAAGACGTTCTGACGTCCCTCCTATACAACTGGCCAGCAACACAACGTAAGCCTCACAGGTATGCGATAGTCCTTGATGAGGAATCGAAGCTGTTCAACAAGTTGCCGGACATGTTTCTAAAGCACACAAACCATCCAGAGAAGTACATATGGTAAATAGCAGGCACCCAGAACACCTTTCTTTTTTTTTAAATAGTTTGGTTTACAACCAGAGCATGATCAGCTTGTCATGTGCAGACATAACTGCCTCAAGGACAGGGCGATATGATTAAGATTCTGGACCTCCGGGACAATTATTCTCCACACTATGGCGAATTCTGTACAGGTGTACTTGTTTCACAACATGTCCATCACAGAGTATTTGGCAATGATCACGGTTAACCAGCCCTGTTGCGTGTAGCCTCCTACACAAAACATGGCTGGTTACGGGTCATCACATGCGTATCACCACTGGTGTTCATGCAATGCGGGGGAGTACCGAGTAATTCCCCCTAACTCATCACCTGAACAGTACACTATTACTGGTGGCTGATAGCAGATAGCCAAGATTGCCACACAGCCGGGAACCACTTCAATTGTAGCCATGGCTACGCCTCTAGTCACAGCTCACGACATGTGCCCAAACTATTGCCTACGTAATCCTAGTTGAACATGACTTTACGAGTATACTATAGACCAGCTTTGACACATGTGCCTAGCATGTGAGAGTCAACGGCAAGGATGGGCAGTGCAATGCCAAGGTTCTATGAACACATCCCCTCGCGCTTGCTTTGTCTTCGGCTTTTTCTCCTGCTCACTGCGACGCACTTCACAGGAATGCCATCGTGCTGAAGAAGTCTCGTACTCTTCAAACTGAATCAATGTTCTGTACAATGTTAGGTAAGAGGTCATACACAAGTTTAACAAGAATTCACCGGCACGGTGATAGTAGAAAGGTTACTGTAACTACTCACAACCTAGCCAAATTGGTCAATCTCGAAAGGGCGCCAGTCGGAACGCTCCTGATGCGATTGTTCGACAAGTCCCTGACATCACACACAACAAATCATAAAGCCATTGGATGCATAGCAGTGTAGCAGATGTCACTCTTTGAGAGAACGGGCCTTGCATCCACATGCATTCGCCCAAGATGATTAAATGTGCACAAACACACACACACACACACACACACACACACGCACACACACACATACAAAACGACGTACTCACTTTACTAAACTCAGTACATTTTGCTCACAAAGTCACGCACCACTCAAAACGCAGTATTCACAAGAGTATTAGATGAAAAATGAGTAGATAAAATTTCGTTGCTCATTCCTACATATCCAAAAAATCAGCAAGAAAAAGAGGATGAAGATGTCGTTCTAACTCTGTGTTCCACGCACAAGGCGATCACCATGAATATGATCATGAATATGAAAAAGGATCATATCGCTCAGTCAAGATACTGGCACAGTGCTTTGCTTCCATCTAGGGCAGTCATCAGTGCTCCAAAAGGGGAACATTAAAATCTACTCACAGGAGTCGTGTTGTGGTTGGTATTCCCGGAGGAAAAACTGGCAGATTGGAACACTGCACACTGTCTCCCATACAAACACAGTTGCTGTTTTCACAGGCTAAAGCAAGAAGCAATCGGTTGTATCAGGAGAGAGAGAGAGAGAGAGAGAGAGAGAGAGAGAGAGAGAGAGAGAGAGAGAGAGAGAGAGAGAGAGAGAGAGAGAGAGAGAGAGAGAGAGAGAGAGAGAGAGAGAGAGAGAGAGAGAGAGAGAGGGAGGGAGGGAGGGAGGGGGAGGGAGGGAGGGAGGGAGGGAGGGAGGGAGGGAGGGAGGGAGGGAGGGAGGGAGGGAGGGAGGGAGGGAGGGAGGGAGGGAGGGAGGGAGGGAGGGAGGGAGGGAGGGAGGGAGGGAGGGAGGGAGGGAGGGAGGGAGGGAGGGGGAGGGAGGGAGGGAGGGAGGGAGGGAGGGAGGGAGGGAGGGAGGGAGGGAGGGAGGGAGGGAGGGAGGGAGGGAGGGAGGGAGGGAGGGAGGGAGGGAGGGAGGGAGGGAGGGAGGGAGGGAGGGAGGGAGGGAGGGAGGGAGGGAGGGAGGGAGGGAGGGAGGGAGGGAGGGAGGGAGGGAGGGGAGGGAGAGTGTGTGAGAGAGAGACAGAGAGAGACGGAGATAGAGAGAGAGCAAAATACAAGAATATGCAATGATTGTGTACATCACCCATTTATAATTAGCACAAAGTGATCACAGTAATGAAGCATGAGCATTCGCTCTACATCATAGCATTGTATGGCCGTGAATGCCCCACCATGAACACCAGAACACACCAAAACTATTCCCCATGCAACTGAATTGAAATGCCTATTGGTAGTAGCTGCACATTATGCATACAATGTAAGAGCCCATCACTTTCATATTACCAGCTGGTATTCTATCATATTCTTCTCTTTCAACATTCCAATAATTACAGGCCACAGGCCTAACCACAGCCATGTATGTGAAAATGGCAATAGACAAGAAGAACAAGAAGAGACTTGGGTAAATTCCCCATTCTATAATCAAGAAGTTATATTGATCGGTTAGTTGGATTCTTACCAAAAGGAGCAAATATAGAGACTGCGTTCACGCCACCACATGTTGTGTTGCCACATTCAGACGTGCAGAGCCTTTCGTCACTGAATCCAAGATGGGCGAAATCTGAGAGGCAACCGCACGCGCTCGAGCCTTTCGACGACACGAACGGCGCGGCGAGAAGGTAACCAAGTGAGCTGCAGTTGGCTAGGCAGCTCTCAATCGTGAATGCATCCTCGTGGGCGGTTTGGCCGAAAGCGTAGCTTCCAGCGGCAAGTTCCAAAGTGTTGGACGTGTTAAGCTGAAAACAACCATAGCGTTCTACATCGCGATATGCACAGCAGCAGCAGCAAAAGAAAAGTCAGTTCAATATGTCGTCGGATGGACATAAAGTACAGAACGGAAAGCTAGCCAAAAGCAATTGAACACAAACGTAGACATTTCAGTGCCAAACATACGTGTCACATCCAGTAAACTGTAGTAGTAGTAGACATTTCAACAACTACCTGAATCAACGTACATACTGGCATAGTGAATCAACACATGCATTATCTTCTGACATGCTCCTTCACTATTCAGAGGTACTCACCGACTTGGTATTGCTCACAAGCTCTACCCGTCCAATAGAAAGAACAGGCGCACAGGCCACCTTGTACAGGACATGTGCTGTTAACATTGGGTCGGTAAGCATACGGTTCTAGCTCATCATTGCATGCGCAGCTCCGATTGCAGTCCAAACCCCAAGTGTTGTTGGCACAAACTAAGGTTGAAAAAGAGCAGAAACAGAAATGAATTCTTGTAGTCGACAAAGGAAAACCGCCTATAGAGGTTGTACACATGATGTAATGGAGGTGGGCCATATGCACACGGTGTAATGGAGATGGGCCAGCGCATTCCCTCATGGGCACTGAGTATACAGCATGAGTCGGCGGTTTCGCTCAAGCTAGTGCATTGTTGTGCTGCAGCTTTTCCACCCCATACAGAGCATCTCAGCTAATAGTGTAATCTCATTACCTCAATACTCCGCACCGACCCACTATCACACACTATACTAAAACCGTACACACATTGCGTCTCGAGTCCACACAAACTACAATCCTCTTGTAACCCATGCACTCTGGAGCCTCATATCCAGGCTCTATCAAGTTGGCCCAAGGCAAGCTCAATCTCAACACGTTCGGACAGTTCGACAAGCAGATAAAACCTCTGCTTTTAGGCGCTCGTATTCGCTAAAGTATGGTGCAAACTGGCAAGAAATTCAGAGACTAAGATAGCCCAGCCCCTAGTCACTTACCACAGTCACCGATATCCTGGCGCAACAAATATCTGTAAGGCCCTCCCAAATCCATCAGGTCCACGATGTTGGAAGCCAGCCTGTTGACTGCATCGTCAAAACAAGTGCTGTTGAAGTAATTGCCTGTGCTTGTGCTGAAATATTAACAAATGAGGCAGCACATTGGTAACAACACCATAAACACAGTGGATTGTTTCATCCTTGTGTTACTCCCAAAGCCCGCAGCTTGCTTTCGGTCGATCGCTAATGGACACCTGCGTGAAGTGTGTGGTGTACCGCACTGTAAGCCTGATAGTATTCCTCTCACTGCAGCAGACAGAGGTGTGCTGTGTAATACTTGCACATGCTATTGCAAGAGCTTCCAATAGAATCGTCCATGTTCACGATTATGCGAGGCTCACTTTTGCACCGGCATAGACACCACGTCGAATAATGAAATATTTAACAGCATGCCAAGCAAACTATACACGGTGTTCTAGGTTAAACTTACAGCTTGAGGAAACTACTTGCATTGGTGAAGATCCTCTCGAATGATGCACTGTCATAGAGAAGTTGGTTATAAGACACATTTCTGAAACAGAAATAATCCAAACAGAGACTACTCCATTGCACTCCAAACAACGACACGGGAACACAGTAGAGAACACACAGCACCGACTTCCCTCTATGCTCTATGCTTATTGTGTCTTTGTCTTTGTCTTATTGTAGCAAGAGATCCAACAAGATCATGCAAAAGAGAAAATATTCACTGGTCGAGGGAATGGAAAAGGGATAAGCATAAGAGAAGATATAGTTTTAATATCAAATTCCCACAGGAAGACACCAAATGTGACCATGGCAGTTTGCCTAACGAAGATAATTCAACTATTGGCTACTAATACTAAGCCTCAAAACACAGAGCAAGTGATGTTCCTACATACATGAGCGAAATGCCAACGTCGTCAGGTAGGACCCTGTCCAAACTCTTCAGCCTATTGCCCTGGAGATAGCTGTGACAGATACAAAAAAATAGAACAGACAGACACTACACTTGCACATATATCATGATTACAACCATCGAGTCTGCAGCCAGAATGATTCCAAGCCGAATGCTATGCGGTGACAACTGCCCTGACCTAAAAGTACCCACAATGCCACATTCGGCTTAAGCCCAGAGGGGCAAACGGAGCTGCAGAGGTGTACCAGCATGTGCATGCACACAACACACACACACACACACACACACACACACACACACACACACACACACACACACACACACACAGATCGTGTATTAAACACTGTAGCGCTCCTGTTCGTCACAGGATATGACCGGTAAGATTTACACTAAATTTCCGGCATGGAAACAGCAGGGGCGGCACTGCCACCACCACTACCAACAGCGGTAGTACAGTAGAGTCGCGCGCTGAAGAACGCGGAGCCCAAGAACGTCCAGCCTGAAATTCTAAGAACACCACAGCCTAAAGCTAAGAACGGCGGTGTTGGTTTTCTGGCAGCTTGTGGAATACATATGATCCAGTACGGATTGTTTCTAAGAACGTGCTATAAGAACACAGCCAGATTGCAGAAAAAATAAGAACGTCCCAGGCTAACCCCTTGGAAACAACGTTCTTGGTCGCGCGACTACTGTAGCAGCATCACCAACAGCAGCACTGACAGCAGCAGCACTGATAGCAGCAGCAGTACCAACAGGAGCAGAAGGAGCAACAGCCTAACTTACAGATACGACAACACGGTCATATTGCCCAGTACTGGAGAGAAGTCTACTGTAGGATTGGCCAGCTGGTTGTAAGACAAGTCGCTGTGAAAGAGCATGACACCCAGTGATAAACAGTTGTTACACAGGATCACAACGACATGCATAATACATATCAACCAATGGAAATCTCAAGATTGCTTCATCTATACATACACAAACAACAATGTTCCAAGCTATAGAAGAAAAAACCAAGTTCCAAATTTTTTACATGGCTTTCAGTTGTATCCCTTTATCGACACATTGCATGAAAACAAGCTATCAAACAATAACCTTAAAACCTGACTAAGAGACTTACAGCGAAGAAAGGCGATGAAAGGTACCAAGTGTGCTGAGGCGACTGAAAGATGAGAAGCTATTATGACTGAGATCTCTACAGAATCAGGAGCAGAAGCATACAAAACAAGCTGTTGAATGTGCAAGGTCAAAGAGGCAGAGAGAAGGGCACACCAAAGTTCAGCAAGCCACCCTCCAACAAGGTGTCCACAATTGAGTGCCTTCAAAGCTGGACCGGTGCAAGGTTTCAGTCAATACTGGGTATACCTAACCCACATGAGGTCCAGCAGGTAAACACATGATGGCACTGTACCTACACATAATAACAATGTTTCTGTGTACACACAGATAACATTAAACACCTGATCGAGTAAGTATATATACATGTAGCCGGGATCCGTATGATGGTGGTGAAGGCGAGACTGGCCCACAGTTCATTCCAACCATGGGAGAATGTGATGGTGTAAGACACATCTCATCTTACCAAGCTTGACACACGTTTGAACACCGTGTTTATCTTCTGTCCCTAATCACCTTATCCGAGTTCAAGTTTATACGGCAGCTAAGGTGCATGTGAGAATCTCCTCCCCAAAGCTAACGTTACGAGTAACATCTTGCAATCTGACAATGTTTGCTCACGCGCATCACAAGTTCCGTGACGGGTATGACAGCTTGATACATTCATAAAATCCCATCTACATACTGTATTGGGCTCAGACTGTATTGGGCTCAGACTTACAAGGTGTGCATAGCCGGTGCAGCAACATAAAAATTTCCGAGGAACGTGCTCATGGTATTCTGCGAGGCATTTCTGCAAGAGTTCAGCATTCAAAGGCACAAATAGCACATCAGTGACTGTGTACCGTAGAATGCTCCGAGACTACACTGTTGCAAAACGTGTGCACGGCACACCTGTGCAATCTTGTCCACAGCATTCTTTCGTAATGGAAGCACAGGGCAGAATTGTGCATGGATAAGATTTCAACATAATATCCTCATCACTGCCGTGAGCTCTGAACAGTGAGCATGCTATCAATACTAGGGAATCAAATAACTCCTCCCCCAAACGCACATATCAGATGGGTGACTACACTCTGCTGGTATTGCTACATGTACAAACAAACAGCATTGGCCAGAAGATCTTCTCCACAGGAAGATCCTTGGTAAAGATGAGGATTTCCGAACAATAAAAATGTCATGCACTTCACTAGTTCCTCTTTGAACTGCATCAATTCTCAACATTCCAACGGCATCAAAGACTGCCATGCTGTAAATCAGTACTCTAAAGAGCCAAGACGTACAGAGACACGAGGGAGGTATAGTTGAGGTCCACAAATGGCAGTATTCCCAAGGAATTCCGGCTGACATCCCTGGTCATAACAGGCAGGATAAAAAGGCCACACATACATGGTATTACTATTCCTTCCGTTTTTGAACCTAGAAGTCAGAACCGTGTCTCTCCCTTCTCTACCCTTGGTTAACCCTTCACCGGCAAGTGCATTTTGTATATGAAATCCATAACATTGAGAAGGATGCCAATAACTCACAACGAGGGCACATTTTGTGCAAGTTATGTTTTCTGGGAAGACTGGTACTACTTCTTGACCATGGAAAAAATTATTTTCACATACCACACAGCTGCTAAATTGGCACCTATACGTCTAAATACGGAAATTGTACATATTGCAAATCGTCAGATTCCGACATTGACATGATACTGCCAAAACAAGTCGACTTCGAAGCGGAAACGAACGCCATAGCCATCACAGACTTCAGTGGCCGTGCCTCGCTCGCAATTGAGAGCAGCAGCGCCCCAGAATCGCTGTTCGATGGCTCCGTAAGGTCGTGCGCAAGTCGCGCTGCGCTGCTGTCACTCAGGTACGTAGAAAGTCGATGGCCTAAAATTCCGTCTCTGGGAGACTGTCGACACGGGGATCACTCTCGATGGCTTTCCCACCATAAGCACCATCAGATTCTTCACGTACATCACGACGACATCGTCTTCAGCAGCTGAAGCTTCCGATATTTGCGTGAGTATTTACTTGGCGTGCGCTCAGCTCCGCAATTTGAAATTTGCTTGCATCGGCGGCTGGAACGAAGTATTTATCTACCGGTATCTGTCGCCGGTCCTAGAGCGAAGGTCTGCTAGGTCCTCGTCGGAGAAGTCATCTGAGGACGAAAGGAACTCACTGCGCAAGAGGAAATGCATCTGACGATGTTTTGACGGAGGCAGACGGCATTGTCGGCGCGCGTGTATTTCCGTAAGTTTTCGATCGCGCAGTTCTCAATGAAATCAAATGGGACACGCGTAGATCTCTTCAGCTACAGGTAGGATCATACCTAGACTGTGTGAGGGCCACTGGAAATCCTCGTGGGCTGATGCTTCCTGTCATACCAGGCATGGCTTTAGTATGCAGTATGGGGCTGCCGGTAAAGGGTTAAAAGAAGTGTAACGTAGGATTGTGTGAGGGTGGCTGAATGGGCAACCATAACTATTCCGGCCTATTCTTGACACCAAGAAAGAACATGAGAAACAACGTTTCTAGAAGACACTTGATTGGTGTGAATGACAAACACGATGGACGTCATAGTGTTTGACATCTTGCAGGACATGGAATGTATCAAGGCAATCAGGGGAAGCCTGAAACAAGTTGCTTACCACAAGCCACTCCCGCACATGCAAAACAACAAAATCCAAGAGTCTCAAGATAGCTGAATCGTGAAGTGACGTTAGTACAACATAGCGTACTTACAGTGTCCTCAACTGCAGACCAGAGAGCATTCTGCCCAGATAATAAATCCCGTTGCCTGCCAGGGATCTACAAATAGGTCAAAACAAACATTTTTTTCAATTTAGCCATTGGTCAAACGTCATGCAAAGAGAAATTTAAGGAAGTGGATGCCACTGGAGAATGGTATGTCCTGCAAAATGCTTCAAGAAAAGAAACATGACGAATATGGGTGCACTCACAGGTCGGTCAAGGCACCTAGCCAGCTGAAGCGATACGATGTATTCAGAAAGAGAAGGTTGTCATCAAGGTACCTGTAAAGTGCAACAGACAGACCACCAGAAAGATAGACAGACAGAAACCCAGAGGAATGAAATGGTGGTCAAACATACATGTACAACCAAATTGGTTGACCGATATCCCACTGCTCAACGAGTCGACCGCTCAAATGATAGATCAACATATGGACAGACAAATTCATAGGCTACGAATCACATCAACACCAAATCCTAAACCTTCACGTACAGGAATAAATTTTCAGTCCTATTGACGAATATCCTCTCTTCTGGAATGCTGCTGATCCTGTTGCTGCGTGCTCTCCTGAAAAGACAGACAGGCAGAGTGCAGGGAAATCCATGCAGATTTAGACAGTCATGATAAACCAGGCTTGCTAGAGGGCCTGGAATAACATAGCGTGACAATGTACAATGGTAAGAAGCTACACTAACCGTCCAGAGATACAAGAATAGAAATCACGACCATTAGGTGCATTGTTGTGACGGCAGCCTACTCTGATGGTGCATTGTTGTGAAGGCACCCTACTCTGATGGTGCATTGTTGTGACGGCACCCTACTCTGATGGTGCATTGTTGTGACGGCACCCTACTCTGATGGTGCATTGTTGTGACGGCACCCTACTCTGATGGTGCATTGTTGTGACGGCACCCTACTCTGATGGTGCATTGTTGTGACGGCACCCTACTCTGATGGTGCATTGTTGTGAAGGCACCCTACTCTGATGGTGCATTGTTGTGACGGCACCCTACTCTGATGGTGCATTGTTGTGACGGCACCCTACTCTGATGGTGCATTGTTGTGACGGCACCCTACTCTGATGGTGCATTGTTGTGACGGCACCCTACTCTGATGGTGCATTGTTGTGACGGCACCCTACTCTGATGGTGCATACCAGGGCATAACTGTAAGCTGGGTAGGCGCTGACCTGATCACCAGCTCAGAATTATCATGAAAGCGCAGAGTTCACAGCCCTCTGCCCTCTACCCATAGTCTTTTTCTCGTAGACTGGCAGGAACGGAAGGAAAGGGGCTGCTGTTTGGCCACTCAAGGAAGTTCAATCCATCTTTCATTCAATCTTGAAATTATAACCACCTCAGTATACTGAAGTATGGTCGTGAGGTCTTGAAAGCAGAAGACTCAATACAGGGCCGTAGCAACCGAAAACGGAAAAAGGCGACCCACAATTCGTTTAAGGGGGGGGGGGTCGTCAATGATGTCTATTTCTGGTCAAGTACACTATTAATTTGACGGGACCACCTGACATCCCAGTAATAGGGTCCTGCAATAGTACAGTCAACTTTGCGTATAACGACACTCGGCGGCGGGGCATCAGAAAAGTGTCGTTATTCGCGAAGTGTCGTTATACCCGAAGTCTCATTATATGTATTCAGGTAGAATGGACTGTGCTCTGGGCATGGAAACTCTGTCGTTATTCGCGAATTGTCGTTATATCCGCAGTCGTTATTAGCGAAGTTGACTGTAGTTAGCTTCCGGCTGCAACAGGTACTGAGAGTTTGACAAGGTGTGAACATAAGTTACTTACAGCTCTCCGAGCCTTGAGTTGTTGAACATGTCAGCAGTGAGATTAGTAAGCCGATTGTGGTCAAGGTCACTGCAAGCAAAGGAAATCAGGAAAGCAAACCAACCATCATGCTCATTCTCGCCAATACAACTTGGCAAAGCAAAGACAATGCCATATTAACCGATTTCTCTGAAGCCAGAGAAGCCAGAGAAATGAACTGAAACTGGTAATACTAATACTACTGAGTAATGATGCTAAGGACTCTAGCCACTCACATTACTCCCAACTGGGCTCTTGCGAGGCAACCAGACAGTAGGCTTGCAGATGTCAACGAGTTATAACTTAGTTGTCTGAAGGCAAAAGTCCAGGAGAACAACACACAAACCAAACATGATGTTCACGCGTACCCAAGAAGTCCAGAACACTGTGTAAAATCCACCAACATGATTGCTGACTACAGTAAAACCTGGTGTAAGCGACCACCTGCTCGTAACGACCGTTTTTCCATGCACCGACAGTTTTTCCATGCACCGACAGTTCTACACAGACACAGTGGGACACAGTGGGACCTAGTTCTAAAGACCACCTGCCTTTAACGACTTCAGCCAGGTTTTACTGTACCATAAGGGCCAATCGACAACATATATGTAACAGCTGATTGTTCAAGCAATAAGTCCAGCATAACTATTTCATATTGACACTCAGGGGGAGGGGGAGGGCTTTGCTACCCGTATGATATACAGAGCATACAAAGAGGTCGAGCAACAAACAGTGGCCATGCAACGAGTTTTCTTACGCTGCCAGGATTCTTGGGTTGGCGAAAACATTGTCTCCAAGACGCTGCAGTTGATTGTACCGCAGGTTGCTTTCAAAGACAAATGGATAGATTCGGACAACCAAGGAATTGAGTGAGCTTGAGAAGAAGCCCGCCAAAAACTGAGTTGCAGTCTACAAGAACTTCCAGCTGTTTTCAGCTCAAGGCTCAAAGGCTGGGACACCATGCCTAAACACTATGTGCATCGAACATGCATTCACAGAAACTCCTAAAGTCGCATGTTTCTTGAAGACCAACAGGTTCAGCAGACTAAAAACCTGAAAGCACAGTAACCAAAGAACTAAACAAAAACTCAAACTTCAGTGCTGTGGGGTTCATCACCACACGGCCGTTCAAGAAGAAGAGTCTAGTGCCCAGAATAATAGTACTTGGTCCGCGTCAGCAATATTGTCGCATATCTTTTGACAACTTGAACTTAGACTTTGGACAACAACGTGTGCACTTGAGGTGATAAAACTTGGTACGATGGAAGTTAAGGTGTAGAATGACAACTAGCCATGAGGAATTTATTGTCCAAGGAAGGGTTCATACTTTTTTGGTCCCCCTCGTCGCTGCTCTCGGCACTGGTGACAAACATTTTTGCTCGGGATCGACTCTCTCGCTTTCGCAAGCTCATCTCTCTTCCTCTCAGCTGCCTGGCTATTTCTAAAGGGAAGTCGATCGTGACGGTTGCCTTCTCTATAGGACTTCGCATGGGCAGCACGACTACCTGCGTGGTTCAAATCAGTCGCCATTCTTTGCAAGATTTTATATTGAACGACGGCGACGCATACAGTACTTTTAAATCTCCACAATGTCACAATGTCCTGGATACTCTGTCCTGGATACTCTGTCCTGGATACTCTGTCCTGGATACTCTGTCCTGGATACTCTGTCCTGGATACTCTGTCCTGGATACTCTGTCCTGGATACTCTGGATACTCTGGATACTCTGGATACTCTGGATACTCTGTCCTGGATAATCTGTCCTGGATACTCTGAGTGTTGAGCGGGAGGTGAGGGAACTGCGATCTCAGCTAGGCGAGCGATGTCCGAAGTGAGCAATCTCAGCCGTTTTGCAACATGAAACTGATTCCGAGTAGCCGATTGCTTTCTTGCGCGTCGTGCTGCTCTTGCCTGCGCAGTGTGACAAGATAATATATTTGATGCGGTGTGGTATCAATCAGAATCACCCACCCGTCGCTCTCGAAATCAACTCGAAATCTAGCTAGACCTTTCAGTTAGGCCAAAACAAAAAATAGGCTTGTTTCCGGTCGGCAACCCCTCAAAAAGGAGACTCGGTCGGCCGGAATGAAACTTTTTTTGGATACTTTTTTTTGGTTCCTCAATCGTTGTGGTATTGATGGACAAGAGCACCTACACATGTACATTGTACATATATCATGGCAAGGATCAATGTCAAAGTTGACTGACTCACTGTTCTTGTACAGCATGTGGTGTATTCCAGTTTTCGTACATCCTGAGAAATCAAGTAAACATTTCGAGTCCTTCCAGCTCCGTTATTCTAGCTCGTATCGAGCCCGGAGGTTTTCGAGCCGACAGCTGAGAATCTCTGCTACCTTGTAGGTGTTTCGATTGTGGAATTCGGTTGAGATTTGACTGAGTTATGACTAGTTGAGTGCACTTGCACACATGGCATTGCCACCGTTTGTATACATTTGGGACCAAAAAAAATTTCAGAATTTGGGAAAAAGTGGCCCGGTCGGCCGACCGGAAACAAGGTCATTATTTGTTTTGGCCTTACTAGTAAACTAACTTGGTATTTGAAATTGGGATGAAATGGGCTGCCAAGTAAGCATTGGGTTGAATGGCAACATAAAAACAAAGCCGAAAGATAAGCGACAATATTGATGACGCGGACCAAGTATAATACTCACATGTTCAGAGTCAGAAAGCTGAATCCACCATCTAGAACATTGTCAAACACCCCATCCTTCAAAGATGTCAGATTATTGTGATCCAGGTCGCTGAAAAAAGGGCATCAGAGGGCAGCAGAAAGCAGCAACAATAGACGGGCAATAGCTCTTTGGTAAGAGGTTCTCTTCTCGCATCCCTGAGAGGCCCAACCTGAAGGAAATAACACTTCAAAGAGCTCACAAAGGTCCATTTCCCCAACGCTCACATGCAACTGTGTGTACACACTTACATCGACGTTGTCATATTCAAACCAGCAAAAGAGCCGCGCCGCAGTTCTGTGATACCGCATGAAGACAACTGCCTGCGGGGTACACGGAGGAAGAGACAAAGCAATGGTGCAACTTCCAGTACACAATAGTCCAGGTCACTTCACTAGCACTTGGCACAATGGCCTGTCTCAATGCACAATGTGTGGTGGTTTTTGCTCCTCATTCCACCTGCCGAGCATCCCCGAAAGCCCCTTACAGCTAGTCACAGTCAGGTAAAATCCTTTCAGGTACCATACTGCACACTCCACACACTGGAACTCCTTTTTCCACACTTGGTTTCGCCTGCTAAGACTCCACTTTAACATTCACGGTATCTAGTCGTCTCCCAGACCACACATATAGCAGCCCCACGGCTACAAGAACCATATTTTCTGGAGTGCAAGCTGCACTCGAAACACCAGTAATTCACCCCAAAAAAGGGTTGGTGCGCCTTATACTACGATGGTCAAATTAACCGTGATAAACATGGTAGATGTCTGTATTTCGTGACAAATTTCTGCATGCGGCTCATACTCCAGTGCACCTGGTACTCCGGAAAATATTATGGTCATAAAAAGTGAATTTAGTCAAAGCTTCTTTCCTAGCCTGGGCTCCGGCATAACACTCCAGTACACTGACCACCATGGGGTGATGTATCAGACCAAACACCACAAAGCTCTTCATGGAAGACAAGAGAAGAATTCCGCCGCTATGGCCATACTTACAGGGTAGCCAGGTTCTTCAGGCCCAGGAAAACATTTTTCCGGCTCAGCTCATCACTCAGGTTATTTCCATTCAAAGACCTACATGTACATGCACACATCAAAACCGTGACAATCGAAACAGTGCATGCAAGTCCATTTCAGTTAAGGCTGGCCCAAAATTAAAACATGGCTGTCAGTGTCGGAGCAAGCCAACACAGCTACAACAAAAAATAACGCACCCCACTTCATACAATAATAAGTGCAGGCGAAACCCAAAGGACACAGCAAACCTCCTCCTCCCTTGCACATCCTCCCACTAAAAAACATCTTGACAGAGTCTGCCACTAAGACCCTTACACCACAAATCAGCCTCTGCAATAGAAACTAAGGAAGCGCATTTTACTGCTAGCCTTGACGATTTCTAGCAGACATCAGTGAAGAGAAATACAGTAGTTGTAGAAGGCCCTCAATACTGTAAATATACAAAATTTCGGCGCTGCAAAATTTCGGCACTTCACGATTTTTGACATTTCGGCGGCGATTTATTTTCGGTGTGGGGTAGAGGGCATGGTATAGTGCGACAGATGCTGTGAAATATTTCATCGGCGTTTTAATTTAGGCGTTTTGGGTCGGTGCCGAATATAGCCGAAATAAAATAGTTGCCGAAAATTTGTATATTTACAGTATACAGCAGCTACATAACAGCAGTGTACATGTACACACGTGTGAGAAAAGGCTGCCTTTTTGTTATGAAATTATCACTGAACTCCGCTGCTCATACAGTGTACATACATAAAGTGTCCATGTTTATGCCACTCAACACAACCTGTGTGAAGTAGTACGTCTATAGGCATGTCAGCACCCAGCTACTAGGTGTGCTTGCACAGTGTCCTTGCACCGTTTTGTGCAATCTGGCATCATTCGCATTTCCAAACTTTGAAAAAAACCTACAGAGACATTCCCCACTGCAATGTGAGCTTCAGTTGCCTGAGCTGCACTGATGAGCCATGATGGAGTAAAACATGAAGTCAATACTCACCAATACAAAGACCTGTATGCCAATCATTCATCACTTACAATATCCACATATTGCTGAGTCCAAGGAATGCATCGCTGTCAATGGAACTGATCCGATTATCGTTGAGGTAGCTGTGAACAAATGATCAAAAAAGGCACAAGCTTAACATGGATAAAGACTCTTAAAGAGATGGAGCGATACAGCATAGTCGCAGTACACCAGATATCAGTTTTATTGAGCCATGCATGGCATAAGCAGACTTTGCACGGTTGATGTAGATATGGCACAACACACCATGCATAGAGAAAGAGGGGATATAGTCACAGATTGACGTGCGGCCAACACTCGGGAAAATACGGCACATTGTTCATTGCCCGAAGAGCAAATTGTGGAATGATGCTGCTACCAGCTCGTGATGCTACCACTGTTGCTGCCAGGCCATGTCAACAAGATGCCGCCAAGCAGCACAATTCCACCCACTACCAATTAGAACTTGGACGTGGCCCAATTCACACCACAATCCACACCACAAACATGAAAATATATACAAAACCCAAACACACGAAGGCCATCCCTCGTACGCAAACTGCCGTAACATTGCTACTTCCCACTGTGAATGCAAAACAAACACCAGAGCAGCATGCAGCTTCGGCATGGAGAACTCACAGATTGCGTACTACAGATCCAGCTGCCTGGAATGTTGAACCATTGAGACGCTCGATGAGGTTGTTGCGAAGGGACCTGAGCAATAGCCACAGCCAACATCAACCCTGCATTAATACTGCTAGAAACAAAACAAGACGAAGTGCAATTGCAAAATATACACGCCATTGGCAGCACCATTTTCCCGACACCTATTTCCGCTTGTAGTATGTTGCACACAGCATGCCATACTGGGTGGAGCGAGCACCAATGGAACACACTTGCAGAATCTCACTGTGAACCACACTTCCAGAGATTAGAACGTCTGCCAACTGTTTACAGTGGCCACATAACTAAGAAACGACACACATCGCTTACAGGAGCATGGTAACAGGAGACACAGGACCAGAGAATGAACCAACTTCAATTGCCGTTATGGAGCAGTTGTTCATAGAACTGCAGAGAACAACAGTGTGGAAACAACACACCACATCCCAGGAATTCCGTCTATGCGATCTACTGGAAATGCAAACGCGTGCACTAGGAAGCAATACACTAAGGTTAACTGGTCTTGTACCCGACCAACCTCTCTGGCGGATTGGACACAAAAGATTTACCAGTACAACACTGTCTTCAAAACCTGCAGGGTATTCGTATTGTACACCCTTGTGACTTTGAACGAAGAACTCACTTTGTGAGTCAACTGCATGCCACTACTGGTCTATGACTTGGCCATGGATACACTACAAACATGTGAGTGGCATTACACAGAACACCTATTACTAGTATACCAAGCTACACATTGAGTGAAACGTCCAGGTGGAAAATGCCTCCCCGTTCGCACTATGAATATGCACCGAGAGAAGCCTACAGTTCTTGCAGCTGAGTCAAATTCGTAAGTAGTGTCCTTGGAACCGTGCCAATTGGGTTGTCAGACAGATCCCTGCAAAATATATGATACACACAACACACGCAGCACATTGATACATGCATGTATATGTACACACACTCAAGAAGGGTCGCTGGTGGTAGATGGTCGTCTATGGCAGACTTGACCGTATGTACTATTCAGTATGTCCAGGAATTTTCTCAGGAACACATGGAAGGCATGCATACAAGCAGATATTCTGACACCAAAACAGAAAAAAGTCATAGAACCTCACCATGCATCCATTCTAAAGAAACAACCATTATGTTATTATGAGGATTCGCTGCACAAAAGGCATACTCACAACTGGACCAAACTTCTTGGGAAAATTCCTGATGAGTTGAGGCTGTCATAGGTCAGCAAATTGCCATCCAGAACCCTGCGACAGCATACAACATGCAGGAATGCATGTTGCATGTACTGAATATGATCGTAGTTATTATCGGAAGGCTAAGAATGGCTCGATGTACAGTGATGAAGAGTGACTCTCTCTTTCTCTCTTGTCTCTTTCTCTTTCTCTCCCCCCCCCCCTTCTCTCTCTCTCTCCCTTACTTTTCTTTCTTCCATACCTCCCAGGACACCCTCCAGGAATCAGTTACATCATCTGGCATCGCAGCCAACAAGAACACTCGTCGGGAGGCCCATTTTTACGTGAGGTGTCTTAGAACTTTGTCTATCGAGAAGGACTTATTCCATGCTTTCTATTATTTCCCTGATAGGGAGTTATGTAGAGCAGCCCTTGTGTCCTAATATTCGCTGTGAAACCTAGAATGGAGAGCACATTCTCCCTAATGATCAATTGAATGTATACATTGGAGAAGAAATAGAGCACAGAACTTTCACTATTGGCATAGACTTACAGTGATATGAGGACTGGAAGCTGAGAAAGACCGCCATTGATGATTGATGATATCCTATTGTTTCTGAAGCTCCTGTAGGAACAACAAAATGTGTTGGTAGTACGGAAAACTAATCACCAGCAATAATTAGGACATTAATTAAATGATGATGCGTAAACTGTACCACACCATATAGTTACATGAAACCCATTATGAAAAGCGTGATCATGCCCCAGTGGCTGGTCCAGCTTTTGCACAAAAACACCAGGCAGCAAGCATGACAACAACAGCCAAACTTACAATGTCTGTAGCCTTGTATGAGTTGCGAACTCAGAGCCGTTGAGCACGGTGAACATGTTATTATTGAGATCACTGAGCCCGACACAGGCAACAATACAGAACAATAATGGTTATGTGACACTTTCCGCAATAATGAAGGTTGGTACACCTCCAAATCAGACCATCCTATCGCACACTATTCTCTCCGTTACATGTACCAACTCCTCTGCGTTTAAAATCGCGAGAGATCTCTCCAAAGCAAAAACATGGCATGGCACACACTGTGGCAAAGAGCTTTGTATCAATGGGTAACTGTTAGCGTATCAACGGCTTACATGGTCCATGTTTTCAAGAACGAGCCGGATATGGCAGAAACCGGGTAGCATAAATGCTTACGCTTTTACCTACAAATTGTGAATAACACAACTATCACAATGTGAAGAAGAGGTTGGTGCGACTTTGGCGATACTTGGGGAATTGTGTGTTGCTCCCTTCGTGGGAGCTCGCGCGTTTCCTGCCGACTTGAATTCTCTCTTGACTGACTCGCGACTGCCATCCAGAGCACACGAGAAGTCCATTGAACCTTCCACTCGACACAGAGGTATCCTTTCTTGAAAGGTGTCTGCCAAGGGAGTTTTCACTATATGTGTACAATATGTTCCTGTTTCCCGGATATGCACCCGGCATGTTAGTCTTGTGTCCAGTTCAGAGTACAAACACTACCCGTTGTCCCTGCGTGCCTACGCACCATTGTGCTTACATGGATGTGGACCAGATTGCCATGCACCGGGTCTCCTGTGCACCTGGCACAGCCAACTCATGCAGACCCTGTCATTATTTGCCTGTGCTCTCCCCGGTTTCTTTTCCTTGGGCGAGGTTGCGTTTGAGGTCAAATACAAATACAACAGGAACAGTGGATTAAATACAGTAAGAAGGTGGTAAAACAGCGCAAAAAGAAAGAAAGAAAGAAAGAAGATAGCTAAAGTAAACAGCGAACCTCGTTAGTTACATGTATGTCCAGTGGTTGTCTCTTGTTGTCGCACTACATGTCGCGCTTATTGAGTTTTCTCGCATTTGCACCTTTGTGTCATTATTTCACAAATACAACAACTAGAAAATAAAAAAACAGTATGCCAGTGTGTTCGCACCATGCAGCATCACTATGAGTATGCATCATCGCACCCGTGTGCACTTGGTGAAAGTCAGCACACGTACTTACAGTGCGGATGTGTACGGGCTGATGTACGCCGGCAGAGCAGTCAAATTACGACCGGCACAGTTGGCATAGAGCAGCCTGGTGGCGTCTTCGCTGCAGTTGCACACGCTGGGACACTCTGCCAGAATAGACATGTACATTCACAAGAGAAACTGAATACTGTATAGAAAGGGGGAACCCACCATTAGGGACCAATTCTTCGACATCATTATCAGTACAGGTCGCATTGAAAACTGCTGTACCAGATATGGAGTACAAGCATATACCTACCTGAGTGGATATCAAGAGAGCAATTGTGTAGGGCATAATCCGGAATGCAGTTACATCGCCCACTGACTGGGTGACAGTTGACAGTGGTATTCGCCTGGCAATCACATGCCATTGAGCAATCACGACCGTATCGATACGACCTGTTCGGCACGGAACAAGCTGGGATAACAAGTTAGAATACAGAACAGGAACAAAAGAGGAACAACGAGAATGAAAGAGTCCTAATTGGGTATCAGGAAATCATGACGGTAAAACATATGGCAATGTATGCAAGCATATATGCAATAACTGGTACAAGGTTAACACAAAAAAAGGATACACCGCATTTTCCAGAGTATGCCACACTCGAGTAAAAGCTGTACCCAGATTTTTTGTCATTAAATACAGAACAGAACAACAAGAACAATCAAGGCTTGTTTGCTGCGACTTCAAGTTTCATGCTCTCGCAATCATCAGGCAACAGCTTGTTGTTCTGTTCCGTATTACGCTCGGCCTCCGCGGTGTTGAGCACTGTCAGCACACTAGGTACACCCTCCGGTGTCATTAAATACAGATATTCACTGGCTAAGGGAATGGAAAAGGGAAAGTCTGAAGAAAAAATTGACTGTCAACACGAGGACTCGAATCTGGGACCTTCGCTTTAAAAAAAATACAGATATCTACGCTATTTATCACCGTTGATTTGACCATTGTAGTATAAGCCACAACCCTTTGGGGTTTGGCACTTCAGCCGGTTTTTTCCAGTCGGGTTTCTCCCAGGTTTAGCATCGTAAATCGACAGTGGTGGATATCACGAGGTCACACACAAAATTTCATTGAAATCCACAAAGACACAAGTGAGATATGAAGGGTTGAAGAGAGGCAATTGCATAAGGCCAAAGCAATACATTTTGCGGTACCAACAGCATCTCCAAAGTGTTATCAGTGGATATAGTTGCAAAACTTCAGAGTGGCATTTTCAAACACACGGCTCTCACAAACACCAACAAGCGTTTATGGATCAACAAAATACTGATCAAAGTTCACAATAGTCCAGAATATGACAATTGTTACCACAATCACCGTTTATTCCTTACTCTTTTTTTCTATCTTTTTCTTTTCTTTCCCTTGTCATTTAATCACTGTCACTCACATACAAATACCGTCATAAAATATAAAACACAAGATTTTCTCATCTTTTTCAATTTCTTGTTTTTCATTAGCTTTAGCATGTTCATTCACATTCTTCATCATTTGTGAGAACTAGACCTGGTCTAGTGAGAAGGCAATCTACTGCCTGTAATTCTGGTGAAGTAAAATAAAGTAACAACAACAACACCATAGCAACCCCATAGCAACCCGTTGTAACCCATGGCAACCCCATAGTAACAGCTTCGGTTTGCTGTGAAATTAGCTAATAAGTTATCGACATAGAGTTCACCAGCAGGCCACTGCCGCTGCTAAATGCTATAAAAGACATTCTTCTGGCACTCAGAAGGTAAGCACGCAGAGATAGCATATGCAAAATGAATTGAAAGCGGAATTTCTGCATACACAACGCACGTGCACACGTTAACGCCACTTCAAACAGAGGTTCGATGTTGGAAACCAGTTTCTCTATTGGCAGCTCATTTGTACCAGTAGAAAGTGCAAACTAAATTACTTCGGACCTTCTGCAGCAGAACAAACTTGCAGAAGTGAAGCTGCGAATTGAGAGCAAGGCGTTCGTCAGTGACACAGAACATTTTTGAGAGCTGCTCCTGTGCTGCCTCCTTCGAGATCCAGAGTCCACCTACAGCCGTGATCTCCGTCAAAGTCTCCTTTTTCTTTTGATGTTGTTCTTTCTTGCGTGTGCTACCTGCCTCCTTCTCCTTCACTTGCTCCATACAGCAGTCATGAATTGTCTGCTGGCGAGCCTCGAAATTCTCACAGAATTTGGTGCAGCGCGCCTGGATGCGTCGATCAAAGTGTCCCTCTCATCGGCGGATTTCTCCTGTAGCCACTGTGAAAAAACTCTTTGCTGGAAGTGTACATGACCTGCCAGTCGTAAAAATGTACGCACCATGACGTATGTAGGCTCTACTGAAAGCTGAACGCCAGAGCAGCACGATGCAGTGAACTACAGGCCCGTACAACGAAGCATGGCGCGTACCTGTACAGTTTTGCACAGGCACTTGACTGATACCACGCAAGTACGCACTCTCACCTTAGCAAAATTTGACAGGTCTTGTCACGTGACTGAAGTGCCTACTTTGGGGGGGGGGGGGGGGGTAAATTACTGGTGTTTAAAGTGCGGCTTGTACTCGTACTCTGGTAAATACGGTACATAACGCTAACCCAGTCCAGAATCAGAAATATCATAGACTGCTGCAGCCTGATTCCGGCAGAACAGGTGGCATGAACCACTGAGAACTCTGATGCTATTGAGGATGAGAGAAATACCTTTGGAAAATTACTTTAGCCAGTAGCTCATTAGGCTACGCACTCTAATCGTACCGCATGTGTATGCAGTGGAGAAAGCACCCATATATCCACCATTGCGGTGGATAGAAACGATTCGGCACGACCTGAAGGCAGCGGATTTCTCCGTGGAGAGCGCACTCCAAGCTGCAGGAGATAGACTAACTTGGCTTGACACTGTTGACAGATGCGTCGACTCTGCTCCAGTCTAACAGGTTCAGGAAAGATGCGAGCTGTGTGTATTATTATTATTATTATTACCGTATTTTACCGGTTGTAAGTCGACCCCGGTTATAGGTCGACCCCCGTATCCGGAGGTCTCAATTCTGCGTTTTAAAGTTTTCACCCAAAGAAGCACTATTAACCACTTCCTGCTATTAACACATGAACAAATCATGTAAACATTCCTTAATTGAGGTTATAACATCCCAATCCTTCAAAAGACCAATAAACTGGAAAAATGTGTACACATAGTGCACTCGTGCATGCAGTGCAGGTCATTTTTTTGTAAGATTCTGATAGTTCCCGGTTATAAGTCGAATCCCGGTTGTAAGTCGACCCCCACCCTTTCTCCTTCTATTTTAAGTCGTAAAAGGTCGACTTACAACCGGAAAAATACGGTATTATTAACTGGTTTGAGGGAAAGAGACAAACGGGAAAAGTCTGAAGAAAAAATTGACTGTCACCACCAGGACTCGAACCAGGGACCCTCGCTTGTAGCCAGCGATGCTCTAACCACTGAGCTATGGTGTAGTCGTCATCCCAGCAGAGGCCGTTCAACATTTTCTTCAGACTTCGTAACTCACACTTCCTGTGAATCCACACAGGCGGGTGGGACGCAGCCCTCACTGTAACCCACACACTTCACGTACAAACTAGCACGCGGGGAGCCCCAAGTCATAAAATATTAACTGGTTTGAGGGAAAGAGACAAACGGGAAAAGTCTGAAGAAAAAATTGACTGTCACCACCAGGACTCGAACCAGGGACCCTCGCTTGTAGCCAGCGATGCTCTAACCACTGAGCTATGGTGTAGTCGTCATCCCAGCAGAGGCCGTTCAACATTTTCTTCAGACTTCGTAACTCACACTTCCTGATTATTATTATTATTATTATTTTTTTTTTTTTACGAAGTCTGAAGAAAACGTTGAACGGTCTCTGCTTGGATGACGACTACACCATAGCTCAGTGGTTAGAGCATCGCTGGCTACAAGCGAGGGTCCCTGGTTCGAGTCCTGGTGGTGACAGTCAATTTTTTCTTCAGACTTTTCCCGTTTGTCTCTTTCCCTCAAACCAGTTAATATTATTATTATTTTTTTTTAAAAGAGGTCGGAGGCGGATAATACTTTAAAACGAAGGTAAGTTATGGGTCGCAAATATCCACGCAAACACACATCCAGTCATAATAAGGCACTTGTCATAAGTATCCGAACGTTTTCGGTCCCTTCTCATCAAGGATTATACAGGGAATGGCTCAAGCTGGAAAGACTAAAACTTATATAGCGTAAAGATAATTAGATAACAACACTCGTGACAAGGTGGAAAATTATCAAGTTTAGCACGACACAAAACTCGAACGAAAATAATAATAGTGACAACAACATAGTGAGCAAATTAAGTTACATTGTTACCACCTCGACGAGGAGTAACACCAAACAATTGTAGCGACAACACATTTTCTTTCTGTACGCAAAGTTCAGGATCTAACTTACGGATATACAAAGCTTCTAACACAGCCAAATGTAACGCACATCTACCACGTGACAATATTGAGAAAACATTATCACTGTACAACTCACGACAATTGGTACGGGCTGACAGATGTTGCTTGATTGACGAAGTGCGATTCTTAGCTCCATTGGGTGTTGTCTCCTCCAATGTTCCGTCATCTCGCCTCTTCGTGGCATCACCACTATCTGTCTCTTCGCGTTTCCGCGGCCTTCCACGTTTCTTGACACTAACCGCTGGGTGCGCGATACCCGGTGTCCTTTCCGTTACGTCTCCTCCATTGCGGATTTCTATTGAGCTTCTTACTCCAACTTGTCCGGTGTCCGATATTGAGGTTAGTTTTCGCGGTCTACCACGTTTTCGAATATTGACTGTTGTTGCCACTTCCGTTGTCGTTGTACGTTCGTCCTCATCAGTCCGTATTTTCACTTGGCTTCTCGTCACCCTTTCCGACGTCGACAGATCCTTTGTCAGTTTCGGTGGTTTACGTGTGGGTCTTTCACCATCTTTTATGCTGTTCTCAGCTGGCCCGTGTCCTACACACGCAGAGGAGGACGGGCATGCAGTCACATCTTCACGGGAAGAGGAAGATCCACCGATGGACTGGACAGCACATTTTGGAGGACGACCACGGCGAGGACGACAATCAAGGGTGACGAGAAGCCAAGTGAAAATACGGACTGATGAGGACGAACGTAAAACGACAACGGAAGTGACAACAACAGTCAATATTCGAAAACGTGGTAGACCGCGAAAACTAACCTCAATATCGGACTCCGGACAAGTTCTCCCATCCTTTCCAAATTTAATCACTTTCTTTCACCTCTGGTAGTTTCCAGAAACTGACCGTGGTTGGTCCCCTGGGGGAGGGAAAAAGACCCAAGTGCCATCAGTATGTGTGGCACGTGTTGTGAGCTGCCTTTGGAGTGAAAAAACTTGTCAGCGCCTTCTAGGTTCAGCCTGGTCCCATAGCTCAGTGGTTAGAGCATTGCTCATGACAAGCAGGGTCCCAGGTTCGAGTCCTGGTGGGTCTGGCGTTTTTTTTTCTCTTTTCAGGCAGTTCACTTTCCCGACTGATCCTTTGAATTTGAAGTTCCCCCATCCTTTCCAAATTTAATCACTTTCTTTCACCTTTGGTAGTTTCCAGAAACTGACCGTGGTTGGTCCCCTGGGGGAGGGAAAAAGACCCAAGTGCCATCAGTATGTGTGGCACGTGTTGTGAGCTGCCTTTGGAGTGAAAAAACTTGTCAGCGCCTTCTAGGTTCAGCCTGGTCCCATAGCTCAGTGGTTAGAGCATTGCTCATGACAAGCAGGGTCCCAGGTTCGAGTCCTGGTGGGTCTGGCGTTTTTTTTCTCTTTTCAGGCAGTTCACTTCCCCGACTGATCCTTTGAATTTGAAGTTCTCCCATCCTTTCCAAATTATTATTATTATTATTATGTACTATGCAGGAGCGACTGAAAGTGACACCATTGTGCAGTAGCTCCACTCACCACACAGGCCTGCTCTCTGCTCCTCTCTCAGCAAGGTCACATTGGACCGGTCAATTATGTCAGTGATGTTGCGAAGACACGCACAGCTAAAGTAGTTGCCACTGCAGAGCCTAAACACCACAACAAATCAGGTCAAAAATAGTTCTGTTCAAATTCGTCCGAAACCAAAACCTGAGAGTGATGCGTGAAACACTAGAATTCAGAACCTCCTGTATCTAGAGATGGGAGTCTAGAGATAGGAGCCTAGACATAGGAGTTTACTTTCTGTGGCTCCAGCGGAATACTTGGGCAAGGGTTGCCTTTTATTCCCGTAGCTATGCAAAAGACGTTACTTCAGTAACGTCTGGCGCTAGCCAGGGTCCACACAGCTTTTATTCCGTGTTTGTGTGTTTGTGTCGCCGGCATGCCTGGCGCTATCCCGTACCTGTCCCGTACCGTACCATCAAAGACAGCTGGCCACAATATTCAAATAGGGCTTTCAAATGCAAGATCATAACGCGAAGCAACTTGGAAGAATGAGTATGTGTGCGAAGTGTATCGGGGAATGCATGCAGGGCGATAGTGCGGGTTCGAATCCTAGGTTATGTCTTGAAAAAGATAGGAGAAATTAAAAAGTTATAACATCCCTATGCTTTTTTTGCCTAGGTCATCAAGGTGGTAGACGGTGTCGCATTACCCTCGAAAGCAAAGAGAAAGTTTATTTCTTTCGCTCAGGGCCCTACGCTATGCTTTTTTTCGTTTTTTGCCTAGCTCATCATGCATGTTATTCGAACAGATGGAAACTTTTTGCAATACAATGATGTAGCCGATCAGTTCGTTGTGGTATGGATGGTCATTGAAGCCGTCATGGCCGACGTAAAACACTATAGCCAATTAATGGAAAAAACATTTCCATCAGTTCTAATAACATGCATGATGAGCTAGGCAAAAAAGGGCCCTGAGCTTCCAAGCTCTCTCGTTGCCGATTGACAAGGATACCGCAGCGGTACGCATTTCTGTACATACCTGCAAAGTAATATTTACACTGCATGGGTATGACCAGTAGGGAGTCGTAGCAGCTAGGGAGACAATGCAAGATACCCGAACAGGTGTGCGTTTCCTAGTTTCAACCCCGCATTCAGAAGTTCTACCTGATCCGTGATCTATGCAGTTTGCTCCCAAGAGCTACCCAGACAAGTGATGCCATGTTGGAGCATGCATAAATCGGCCCTGCCCAAAGGGCGACTGCAACGGGCAGCCCGGGGTCAAAACCCACATCATTTTTAGCAAAAACAATTGCCCGTGTCGTCTCCCTAGATGCTACAATTCCCTGACGATCAGACATGCATTGCACGCAGAGCATCAACTACCCAATATAGCTGGAAAGGCAACACAAGCATCTCAGATCTCTTCATTGTGAAATAATGTTATACTTGTACACAGGTACTTGGATTCAATGCGGGCCAAAGAAACATTTTCATGCGTTTGAGGGAAATATGCAAACGGGACATTTGGAATGTGTTGCTTACAGTCCGCTGCTGTTGAAAGCTGGCGATGTCGATGCGAGGAAAGTGAGGTCAAGTGTGGTGATGTTGTTGTTACGAATATCACTGCAGACAAAGACAGTGCACACATTGCAGCAACGGGCAAATTACAATCTGTAATTCAGACTTGAGCCACTTAAAATATGTCAAAAATGAAGTGCAGAAGAAGGAGCACACCGACATGAACCGTGTAGTGGTGAGGTCTGGAGGGCTCCGCCGATCCAGGATCTCGACTTCATTTGCACTACCGTACCCAAAGGTGGCGAGTTTCTACAAGCAGGTAACCACGCGTGGCTGGCATACAATGATGATACCTAGTATCTCCACCACACATACTAACATGAATGAGAAGTTGGCAGCTCGCATCCCAGCAGTTGTTTCAATTCTGTTATCATCAAGGTACCTGTGCAAAAAGAAGGTACACACAGCCAAAAGTCCACAGTCAAGAGCATCAAATCATGATGAATGACCAGCACTCCATCCCTCTCATCTTACTTTCTTCTTGCTGTGTTACAGTTCACTATCACGTGTCCATGCTTCAGGTATCTGCGGTTTCGCTTATTCGCAATTTGCACATGAAATGATGAATATGCGGTCTGCTGAATTGAATGCAGCAAGGACAATCCGTTCTGCATTGGCTGCACTGGATGTGGGGGAGAGACAAGCAAGATAAGCTAGAGTCTCCTGCACTAGCTTTTGCTCTACATTGTGTGTAAAATGGCTAAGTTTGCAAGTGATGAGATTCGGTTAAATCACGTCCAATTGCAATCGGTGGCGGGATACAGCTACACTGCAGGTGGATGTACATGTCAGCTCTGGGTACATGGTGCACAGTGCACGTGTGCTGCCTCGATGGCCTGATGCAGTCCTAGGAAGGAGAATTACCTACGCCTAGTCAATCAATGCAGGAGCAAGGGAAGAAGGTGTGTACATTCTCCTTCCGCTATGCATTCCGGTAGCATTATAAGATAGGCACGGACAACTTAGTAGTTCAACTTACAGGTATCGAACTGGACTGTAGATGCCGAGGAAATCCGCTGTACGGAGTGAGTTGTGCGACAATACTCTGAAACACAGCGCAAGAGCACAACAGAGATCCTGGGTGCCACAGTGCAAAAGCCCCAATACAAAACACGATAAGAGGAGAGCACATACTGAAGCCAAGATTATTCAGCAGTGCGTCTTGGATGAAGGAGGGTGGTTCAAGTCTCTTATGAGCAATGACCCCCAGAAACAACCATTTGAACAGAGGGGCTACCGTGAACGCTGTTACAGTGTATGTAGGCAATGCCTACTGCTACAAGAAAAATACAACTCGCATGTTGCGCCCAGGCAATGCCACACACACACTGCTGGTATGGGAATTTGAACGCCTGTAGTACGTACAATCGTGCCAAGCTGCTGCTGTCCGCCAGGGCAGAGTCTGAGATGAGACGAATCATGTTATAAGACAGGTCCCTGGAGCAGAGAAATGCACAGTGCAACAGCAGGACAGTGAAGCTTGCAGCCATCACTTCAACTCACACACAGCTTGCAACCATCACTTCAACTCACACAGCATGCATACTGTGAATCAATCACTGTGTCACATATAACAATGCACGGGAGCCGCCTCAATAAACTAGCACCACCGTAACACCAACAAAGACATTTACATGGCAAGGAATTAGAAACAGTAGAGCTGTATATGAGTATATCTTACAGTGTTGTTAGTTCAAGCAAGTTGGCAAATGCACCTTCAGGCAGAGCTTCAAGTTGGTTGTAGGACAGGTCACTGTAACACACACGCGCACGCACCCGCGCCCGCACGCACGCACACACACACACATGCATACATACACACACATACACACATACACACACACACATACACACATACACACACACATACATACACATAACTGCTCGAAGATTTTTTGAAATCTTCGAAGGCAATGGAAGCTGAGGCGGCAGAAAAGATTGGCAAAGACCTGCAGGATCAAGGCAAGCATGCCTATGCTCATTTCCAACCAAAATCAGAAAACCAGCTGGGCTTCAAAGGGTTAACACAGCGGTCTGGTTGACAAACCAGCAGTAGCTGCCTTTATTTTACAGGCCAATGGCATGAAAGGCTGCTCACACGGGATGTAAACCTGCTACCATTTGCTCAGAATGCACTGGGCTCCACAAACAACGTACTACCAATAAATTGAACATGCCGCACCCTGAAACAAGGCCGAGCAAGATGGAATACAGTCAAACCTCGTTAGGACGAACTTCAAGGGACTGAACAAATTTGTTTGTCTTATCGGGAGTTCTTCTTATCCAGATCTGACAAAAAATCGATATGCATATCAGATGGATTGTATTTACGTGAAGGTGCATGCTGTGGTACATGGGAAGCACGTTATTCTTAGCATAAGCCAGAAACAGGTACATGTACATGTAAGTACAATGACAAAGTTTAAAGTGCAATGAATCACGACTGTGTCGAAAGTTAGTTCGTACAACGCACTGATTCTTTTGTTCAAAACACGCTTGAAAACAATTTGCACTGTACGTAAAGTAATGACCTCGACTATTGAAAAAAAGAAGAAAAAAGGCAGCCAGCGCACGCGCACGCTCCTGGACCGAAAGTTCGTACTACATGTACATGACCACACTGACTTTGTTCAAATCACACTTGAAAATAGTTCGTCTTCGCGAAAGTTCGCTGTACAGAAGTTCGTCTTAAACGAACAATTTTGACTAGAATTGATGCCTGGCCAACCATAGGATTGACCTTAGTTCGTACTAATGGAAAGTTCGCCTTATCAGTGTTCGTCCTAACGAGGTTTGACTGTACTTGGAAGGAATGCACATGTGCATCGGTGAACACAAGCGGCGTATGTGGCTGAGCATACATGCAGGAGGTCGACCCAGTATGTGCACTACATTATACTTACATGCCCGTCACGTTGGGAGTATGAGTTGAGCCATTGAATGTACTGACCTCGATCGCCGTGATCGAATTGCGCGAGAGATCTCTGAGACACAGAACGGCAGGTGTGGAAAGAGAAAGTAAGGGGTCGCCGCAAAAGTGTTTCGTCATCCCTGAAACGAACACCATTCGTTTGGGGGGGGGAGGGGTGCGAGAAAAATTGCAAGTCAACCGACACCGTACATAATGTACATGTACATGCATGCGATTTTCGTCGTCCAGCATAGCAAGCTGCGTTCGTTTCAGGGGGAGGGGATGGGTCCGAGTACTAAATGAGCGCTGTTCGTTTCAGGGACGACAACAACTTCTGCGACGACCCCTAACCAGGCAATTTCCCGTAAGCCAAGAAGACACAACTGCAAACAAAAGAAGTCTACGGATAAGCCCGAGCTTTGCCACGTACTTAGTATTGATACTCAGTGCGTCAAGTTTGCTCGGGGTGGGGTTCAAAACATGGATCATGTGTTGCCAGAAAGAAAGGAATAGAGTCTAAAGTCCGGAATGCAACGCAGTGTAAGTATACCAGTATACGAAGACATCATCATGCTGACAGTGTTTGATGACCGTCAAAACGTGAAATTCAGAGTTGCAACTCTCTCTCTCTCTCACTCTCTCTCTCTCTCTCTCTCTCTCTCTCTCTCTCTCTCTCTCTCTGCTGCACTGACAAATCGCATATATGGGAATGTGTTGTGAGCACACCATCAACAAGTCCACTCGAGATTCACAACAGACAAAAGACCGTGCTGTCCTGACACATGCGCAGTATGAGAGAAACAGAAGAGTTGTAGCAATAGTATAACTACACAAATATGATCTAATTATGGGAATGCTCACAGTGTAGTTAGGTTGACCAGGTCAACAAAATCCATTGAAGTCAAGTTGGCAATTCTATTGTTGCTCAGATCTCTGCAGAGGTGAAGAGAAAGAGAGAGAACAAAGTGCTCCATCATCCAACCTTAAAGGGGAAGTACCGTAATGTCGCGTGCATTAGCCGGGGCTTATATGCCTATAAGCCGGTGATGGAGTCAGGCTTGTACACAAGACAGGCTTATACACGAGACAGGCTTATATGACAAGCACCACTCAATGACCAGGCTTGTATGCGCAAACTGCTGACTTGCTGGTGTTGATTTCCGCATCTTCCCACGTTTTCCGCGTGTGCAAGTGTACGGTACCATGCAAACATGAACATGTAAAAGGCGCGCTCACCAGTCTTGCGTAGTAGCCCGGCTTACGCACGCGACACGTGGCGCGTCTCGTGTACTGGCCCGGCTTATGCATGCGACAGGCTTGTACGCGAAAAGCTGTTGCAGATTTCATGCTTCTACACGAGACAGGCTTATGCACAAATCCGGCTTATGCACGCGACATTACGGTATACCCTAAAATCAAATTTTCACCAGTTGTAGTCTTCGGAGTGCTGAGTCGAATGGTCTTGGTCCGAGGAAGCTGAGACGCTCCCTTCCTCCTTTATTCCCAATCGAACTCGCGCACTTCTACCGAAACTGGGTGACTGCGCCCTACTAGATGGGGATTTGTATGCAAAATGTCACTAAAAGCGCCATTTCGTTCTTATAAAAGCACGGATGACCGCGATTGGCCCATATGTTGTAGTCTTTTGGACGCTGAGTCAACTGGTTTTGGTCCGAAAAGGCTGCGATGCAGCGTTCCTCCTTTATTCCCAATCGAACATGGTTGAACAAGCGGTCACGTGCTCCTGCGTACACCAGTCACCTGGTCACCCTCCCTGCAGGGTACAACTTACTAGCCTGTTTGACCTTTTTTGGGTGCAGTCCTGTCACTCGAGTTGAACTCGAGTTGAACCTTGGTGTGAAAGTTGTCGCCTGCTGGCGCGGTGACCAGGTGATTTGGGCACGCAGGAGCACGTGACCGCTTGTTCAACCATGTTCGATTGGGAATAAAGGAGGAACGCTGCATCGCAGCCTTTTCGGACCAAAACCAGTCGACTCAGCGTCCAAAAGACTACAACATATGGGCCAATCGCGGTCATCCGTGCTTTTATAAGAACGAAATGGCGCTTTTAGTGACATTTTGCATACAAATCCCCATCTAGTAGGGCGCAGTCACCCAGTTTCGGTGGAAGTGCGCGAGTTCGATTGGGATTCAAGTAGGAAGGGAGCGTCGCAGCTTCCTCGGACCAAGACCATTCGACTCAGCACCCAGAAGACTACAACTGGTGGAAATTTGATTTTAGGGTATACTTCCCCTTTAACTGAATCCTTGAACCTAGCCCCCCTCCCCACATACACACTTCATAACACAAACCCGTAATCTAAGCCCAGTAAGCGGCAATGCTGTCACTGTCCGGCAAAGAAACAACTGTTTCCTGGAGCAAGACAACAAATTTGGTTCACAAAGTGCAGAATACCTGTGCTCCAGGACCATGGCGAAAGGAGACCAGCATACCTTACAGACCATCATCTCAGGTGCCATACCATGCTACAGCATACATTCATTTAAACATGCAGACCACCTGGCCTTTTCTGTTCTAATATTACATGACGTACCCGTGTTCTGTTATGTACTGGAAGACCTGGGGTCTCGACAGGTCCGGGTCAGCTACGCTACGCACAGGACGGCTGGTATCAGCGTAAACTGTGTTACCTACTATGGGGGAATTGTGTGAGCAACAAGTTCAACCCATTCTAAAAACTTGTCAAGTTGTAGTAATAACGCCAACTGACATTAACAGCTGCTCTGGCTTGGCATGCATGTAACCAGGAGGCTGGTCGTGTACATGTACAACACTAAGGGTCTCTTTGGAAGAATATCTAGAAGGCAAATGTCAGCACTCACATGGTTGAGAATGGCTGGAGAAGGGCCGATAGTGTTGAAATGCTAGTGATGGCATTGCCAGATAAGTTACTGCATAGTAGCAAGAGAAAGAACATACATGAAACGTGTCAGAATACTTCCCCGGGCTACAGGCAAACATTTTATCAACACAATTGCTAAATAAAATCTACACCAGTGTAGGAGTAGGACCGTTTTCATTATCGGGGCTTTCAGCTACATGCTGATATTGAATGGTAAGCCTGCCTCAATAGGGTGTCTCGTGTATTTGAACACAGGCATGGTCCTTCCTAGTCTCGCTTGATACCACATTCCAATCAAAACTACAAGTACACTGCATCTTTGAAAAATTGAAATTATTCGGTAAGGGGTCGGGGGGGGGGGGCTTACATGTATGCCTCCAACCTTTTCCCCAACCGTGGATGGGCTCTGCGCCATGCGCAAAGGGACTGGACAAATACATGGGCTCAATGCTACCACCACCATGAACACAGTCCATACGTGACTGAAGTACACCGGCGCATCTCAGATATCATCAAGTTTCCTGAGCATATTGTTTTCATATGTTCTAAGCTACGCACAATTACCCGTTTAAATACGTGGAATTCCTTATGGGGTGGAGGCTGGAGAAGAGGAGTTTGAGTGTGTTGCACAACTGGAGGCTTTGACTGCTGGACACATGGTGGGGACAGGTCTGCAACTCCAGCCATGCAAGTGCGCCTCTCTAGCGAGGAATGCAAAGTAATTCAGAATGCACGTGATGCCCCTCAGCCACAGATCCACAATACTGTAGTACAGCAGCTCATGATGCTGACGCATGCACGCCAAGCCATGCTAGTCCAGCCTGGCCGTCTGGAAGACTTTTTTGACACGTGCTTGTCAAGGTGAACAGAGACGTCTTGTATAGCCACCAATACGCTGGCAGTACAACATCATGTAGTTTGCAATGACATGATACTGACAGGTTGACGCATGTCAGTAACTCTGACGTCAATTTCATCCACTGACCAGGCCAGACCAGAGGCAGAGGCAGCTGTTTCTGGCTAGCGCTAAATCCAGTGCGCAATTTACCCATGGGCAAACAGAACGCACTGTTTCAATCGAATTTCAAAACAGAACATGAAGCTAGTTTGCCGCTCGGTGCTGTTCATTGTGCTACAGCACCGGTAATTTACCGTAAAGTCTAGGATGTCTGAAAATCAAATAGTGGGTGGCACGGGACATCATTACGATAACATGATCTCCACTTATTACGGTCCCACCTTCCACTAATCACGGTAATTCATTCACAATGTCACCTTCGCATGTGCAACGTCTGTAGCCTATGTAATGAGCAGCCTGGCTTTTCACAAAGGAAGGAGGGAGGACGTACCACAGTACCCGTTGGCCGGACACCGGCACTAACCTAGTATGCCATTGCAGCATACACTAACCTAGTATGCCATTGCAGCATACACTAACCTAGTATGCCATTGCAGCATACAGACAGCACACAGACACAGTATGGCTTGTTCAAACTCAAACACGCTACCTCACAGGCATCCGATGATCATGGTAAAAACACATTCTTTATGAGGCCGAAATACACTTGGCGACCGGTAAGCGACCATACGAGTGCGCAAAAAGAAAGTGCGGAGTCCATATCCAGAGTGCGCTTCCGAAGGCCAATTACGGCCAATGACTGACTGACCGAGTCTGTGCTTCGGGAGTCTAAACATCTACCGAACCATGCAACTGCACAGTCGTACAATGACACGACGAACACCCTTTTCGTCGCTTACCATGGTTTACTAGTCAGCCAACACAAGCAAATAATAACTGAAGCAACCATAGCACTCAGTACAACTAGCAAACAATAATAATTATTATTATTACATTGATCACTGCAACTAATTTACTCACAGGGACACAGTTACATTCTCATCAAACTCCACCAAGTGTAACTGCATGGCCGCGAGAAAGTTGGAAGCCCGCTGGGTATCCAGAGGTGTTACTGCGGTGCAGTCCACAGTGAAACGCAGTGGCGTGGTGATGTTGCGGCACTGCCCCGATGCAGTCACGAACTGAGAAACGCTCAACACAAGCCATAACGCTAGTACGCGTGCCAGCGCCAAGGACGCTTGAGAGGCGGGCCGACGCGCTGCAAGGACTACCATTGCGGTCTGCACTCGCAGCGCGATACAAGCTGGACTTGCACTGGCTTCCAAACCAATCCTATTCCTCGTCGTCAACACCACTTCAATCAGGCACTTTCTAGATCGACCGACTGCTAGCTGCTAGTCCTCCACGAAAATTTAATTACCATGTATCGTGAAAATGATTATGTAAATAAAGGGGAAAGGAGGGGAGTAGTTCGAGTAGAAACTGAGCTGAGTACTGAACAAGATTGATGGCACATGTGTCATGTGTATGTGACCATGGTGACTGTTAGCATCCCGAATTCCGCGATCCGGACGGTGTGGGCATTGGACATGAGAATGAGATGTAGCCTTGTATTTTTGTTGTAAGTATTAGTTGTAATGTAGGTACGTACATGACTACAATCATAATCATTGTAGTATTCTTGCAGTAGGCTGAGGATCTAGATTCCAGGACGGCTTATCATATGATCATCTCGTGCAGACATTACGTAATCATGATTGCCATGATTACACTCCGCGAATCCGCTAGGCCATAGCCTGATCAGTCTGTCAAAACTGACAAAAGCAGGGAGTTTTTTTAAAAGACTCCCTGGTCAGTAGCGCACCCACGTGACGCCAAGTGCGCGAAAAACTACATAATTCCTGCGGGCGCAAGGACGTTTTAAAAGTAGGTACACTCGTACGTATCAAGCAACTACCGTAAAGTCGCGGATAAAAGCCGGGCTTATAAGCACATAAGCCGCTTTCTGCATCAGGCTTTAATGCAAACCAGGCTTGTATGCAAACCATGCTTATATGCACCACTGATATTTTTGCCAGGCTTGTATGCACGCTTCTACGTGCGACACGCGTAGATCTACCACTGACTACCGGTATGGCGGCAGTTTTACTATGCACCGTACATAGCGCATGCACTCCTGACCTACCCGATCCGCGCTTGCATAGAAGCCAGGCTTCTACGCGCGACAGGCTTATATGCATTTGTCCCGTTTGATTCTCAGGCTTCTATCCGCGATGTGCTTGTATGCAAACCCGGCTTTTATCCGCGACTTTACGGTAATTACTTAGTTCACACTAATCGGCAATCCTACTGTGTATGCCTGGTTCTTTACAATCTGTATCACACTGATTAAATTTGTGAGTTCAGCGATAAAGGTCTTTAGCCTACAAAAGACTAGTAATGTGTGTGCACTCCACAATGACATCACGAGTATACCCATGTACATTTAGCACTCAGTGTATTTGTGTATTTGACTATTTTGTATTGTATTATTTTACTTGGCATTCCCAGCGAAATGGATAGGGGACAATGGGTGAAGAAAGGGACTTATTGGCTTGCTCTAGGGTGACTATCTGTGTGAGCGCAGTCACGGCAGAGGGAGAACACATCAGAGAGCAGTGGATGTCTTCGGTTCTTCAAGTTATCCATCAGGCTTGCTTGATACAAATTTCAAGCTACGTGCACAACCTCCCAATCACATCACACTCACCTGAGATTGTTTATACAATCATACATTCGAATAAGTTGCCTGCATCTATACGATCACTGGAGAAACCAGATCAATTCCGGACCGCTCTTTTATCCCACCTGAAAATTCCCTGACTGATGTTCCTCACTGATCAACTAATTATGTAATCTTTCCTCTGCTGTCTTAAATTAATCTTTTCCTTTTTCCTTATTATATATTTGTGTGCCTGTAACTTTAGTCGATCTCATGTAATAAGGCAACACTGCCTGTTTGTTCTTCGACATTAAATAAACCAATCCACTAAATCCAATACATCAGTGTGTTGCAATCATCTTACCTACCTACAGTGCCTATTAGCTTAGCACAATACTAGTAACAGCATTTACTACTACAAGGCTTGCAAGTCAAAGTCAACAGATGGAATAAGGCAAGGATCCTTTTCCGTAGTAAGATCACAGAGCAGTAGCCGTTGTAAGCAGTTGTTTCTTCGGATACGTTGGTTTTTTTTTTGTTGTACTATGCATAAGTGCATAATAGCTCTAGAAGTACTGTGGTTTTGGATTATCCGATGGATACGCACGTCAGCACTACCTGGTCATGCGGCTCCTCAGGTAATGGGGTTAGATATCAATGAAACTAGACAACTACGAATCAGTTTGAGGTGTGCATGCACACATCACACGTTATAGTAACTGTTATGGTACATGCTTACCTGTACAGTACGCCAAAGTCGATCCAGTGCCAAAAGCAATCACGGCGTGGCAATTCGAAAATCCGGATTGATGTACACAGTCAAAGCCGCAGCTGATTTTGATCATGCACCTGTCCTCAATCAGATAGAAAGCTCAGAACATCCATGTTGTGACCGAAGCAAACCATATGCTGAACTGAGCAATTTTAAAGTCTCAAGGGAGAGATAGAGTGAATAAGAACCACAGCTGAGTGCCACTGACACAAGTACTATCCTATACTGGTATGTCCAGAGAGGTGGGACCTACAATGATTATGTGTCAACATAGTGCAATGGTGAGAAAGTGAGGATGCAGTAACGTTACTAGTATGTTCGTGACGTGACTGAGGTGAGGATGCTATGCATCACGTGACTGAACTGGTGAGGATGCACTGGTGATATAATGTGTCATACCGTAAGTGCAACAATCCGAGACAAAGTGCATGGCAATGTAACTAATCTTAAGGCTAGTAGTAATGCACGTGGTACATGTCACAATGACCTGGATTCCAGTTCACTTGCTGCCAATGTACTTTATTGACCAGGTTCGGTCAAGTGCTTGCATGGCTGTGTTGCCGTGGTCAGGACTGGGTCTTCTGATGTATACGGTTTCCCCAGGCCCGGGCGGCTGGTGGAACTTGTTCGATTGGTCCGGCCCACCGGCATTTGACGACTCCCTGGTCAGGCCCTGGTTGGGCCACCTTCTTGGCGAGCAACATGTTTCAATGCTGGACCGTGAACACAAGGGCATTTGTGACCAAGACTTCCACATCGCGATTTCCGGAGTACTGTAAAACCGGAAAGTTTAACGACCAAAAAGTATAAAACGTTTGTATTTTTGGCATGATAACGTGCATTTTAAGTTTAACGATGGGTAACTGGCCACCCATCTGTATGCGCATCTTTACACAGACATCTAAAAACGGGTTCGCGATAAAGTTTCTTCAAAAAATAAAGAAAAAAATGGTCGTTAAAACGTTAGACTTTGTGACTCGTTAGACTTTCCGGTTTTCCAGTACAAGCCACACTGCACTGGAGTACAATCATGCTACCCCCCCCCCCCACACACACACATACACATTTGAAAAATAACTAATTTCACCTACCCACCATTGAGAACCTCACTGCACTGTGGCTGTCATTATTCGGGCCCCTTGGTCCTCTTTCTGATCAGGATCGAGGGCAGCAGTCCCCCGTGCCACCTGAGCCACTGAGTCAGAAGGGAGTTTGACTTTGACATTGCTGATAGCTCCACGCTGATCTACAGACTACAAGTACAAGTCTACATGCACACTAGAGAGGTTAAGATGTACGTTATTTCTGACGTGACGCGAAAGTTCAGCTTGCGTTATTTGCTCGCACGTCGAAAAATCAACGCGAGTGACCTGCTGCTCACGTCGAAATTAATTTGGAGTGTTACTGCGCCAAATTTGACATGAAATTGCGCATCATGTCGGAAATAACGTGCATCTTAACCTCTCTACTAACTTGCGTGTAGCTCTACATGTCAAGAACTTCCAGTGGCTGCCAGTGTCAGATTTGAGTCACCACACAGTTTCGCTTCTAACTTTAAAAATAAACAGTCAATCGCCACGGGTACCCAGGTTTATTTTTATTTTTTTACTATTGAACACTCACTGCATGATGAACTAAAATGAGGAGAAGAACTCGACACAATGGTACATATCCAGCAGGACGGAGTGGGTGGGACCTGTGAAGCTCAGCCGACCAAGGGTCTCGGCATCACAGCTGCACATGTGCACCAAAGGAAACAAAATGGGGAGTGGAAGGGCGGGGAGGGGAGCAGGAGAGCAAGAACTCTAAGGGTAGGAAAGAGAGGAGGGGGGGTAGGAAACCAGGAAACTTGTTATTCCAAGATATGAGTGCAAACAAGTACGCAAACAAGTACAAATATAGCAGTATCAAGATCATGATGCTGAGGCGAAAGTAGAGGCTGATTGCCGTGCAGATTTGACGAAAGATTAGAGGAGAGTTAGAGAGAGATAAAGACAGATGGATTGGGAGTTTGATGAGAAGGGAGTGCTCCGAGAACATGAACAGGGTCGTACTGGCAGTAGCCTAGGGGGCGATGTCCGTGGCCAATGACCAACCCGACCGTTTCAGGTAGCGGTAGGTCTGAACCTTGAACTGCTGCATCCCTTTGGCAGACGGTGCATCGCGTAGGAGAGTGGCTGGCAGTTCATTCCAGGCTTCGATGAGGCACTCCGGGAAAGAGCGCAGCGCAACATTGCACGATCTGGCAGGTAGGGCTGTCTGGAGTTGAAGCTCGTGTGCAAGGTTGGCTGCCGAGCGGCGACGTGTGCCAGGCGCGATGGCGGGTGCGATGGCCCTGGCTGGACGTGTCGCTGCAAGAGCTGGCGGGCTTGCGATGTAATGGAGCTTGTACAGAGTTGTGCGGCCGGCCACACGGCGCCGCAGGGACAGAGTGTCCATTGCAGCCCCTGTCCCAATCAGGGTGAGGGCACGATGCTGGACTCGGTCCAGCTGTGAGAGATGGGTAGCCGCAGCTCCCATCCATACAAGTGGACAGTACTCCATTAGAGGCCGAATGAACCCCCGGTATGCTGTGGCCCGGCCCGGTGGGTCCAGGACATGGCACGCCTTCCGGAAGAAACCAATTCGCTGTGTGGCACGCACTGCAGTTCCTCGAAGATGCTCCGAGTATGTTAGATGGGCATCAAACGTCACTCCAAGGAGCTTCAGCCGCGAGCATTCTGGGACCGCTGTGCCGTTGAACTTGATGGGTGGTGTCTCCCAGGGTCTGCGGTGGCGGGACACAGTCATGGCCTGTGATTTCGTTGGCTCAAAAGTGACGCGCCACTGAGCACCCCATTCAGCAAGTGCATCCACACCAGCTTGGAGGTTGCGGCACACTTCTGTCACAGCATGTGGCGTTGGGATGTGGGCATAAAGCGTGGTGTCATCTGCGTAAACAGCCGGAGTGATCCCTTCCGGTAGGACGTCGCAG